AAAAAAAATCAAGAAAACCATCTTTTAAACTATATCAACTCACATCAAGATCCTTCAAGTTGTTCATGACAGTACATGAGTTAAATTATGCATTGTTTGAAACCTTACTATTTTTCAGCGCAGAAACACTATAGTTTGGGCGCAAAAAACACTTTGCACCATCATTTTTCATAAATTACACTTTAAATCCTATTTGACGATGAACTTTCAAAAAGGTAAAGTTTGAAAAGAATAAAATACACTTCACATCTTATATGTTTGACAATGAACTTTTGGGCAGGTAAAGTGTGAAAAAGACTAAAAGACCCTTACATATATAATTGGATCCCCACTGCTAGCTATGCATTCTCTGCACTAATCTCACCCAACACTTTCCCTCCAATCTTCTTTGTTTTTCAACTCTCTCTTCAAAGAGAGAAAAAGTTTAAAAACCCTTCGATTATTCAGCTAAATCTCTTAAAAAAAATCTTGTTTTCTTCTCTATTCTAGTTGGTTGAAGATTTGTGTGGTTGTTTGAAGTCGAATTGAAGATGAATAAGAGTTTTGTGAATGTTAAAGAATAATATAAATTATATTATAGGACCTCACCTAATATTTTAAATTTTTAGGTAAGATGGTCCTTTAATATGGTATCGAGCTTGGTTGACCATGTAATCCTGATTTCAAATCTCACCATTCCCAATTTCTCAAGTATTCAACACAAAGCAATGTGGATCCGTGCAAATTTCAAGCCCATATGTTAGGGCTTTCACTTGAGGGGTGTGTTAAAGAGTAATATAAATTATATTACGGGACCTCATCTAACGAGTTTAAACTTTTAGGTAAGATGGTCCTTTAATAGTGAAACCCTAGCCTTAATTTTAAATTTTTTAAACAAAAATGTATTTAGCGCATTAGATGTTTGGATTAACTTTATAGGTATAGAATCCTGAACAAAACTCATAAAAAATATTATGTTTTTAAGGTTTTCTAAGCTGTGTTTTGAATTTTAAAAAAAAAAAGCATAACTGTTTAATGCTGATTTTTTGGTTTGAAATTCATTGTTTATGTTGTAATTGGTTGTTTCAAGCAAAACCCCTAAAAAAATTGTTTTTAAGTTTTTTTAAAACTATTAATTTGAAACTCTAAAAAATTCTTAATTGTTCAATGTTGATTTTAAAGGATGTTGAAATTGATTGTTTATGTTGTTATTCATTGTTTGGAGCAAAACCCATATAAAATAGTGTTTTTAAGGTTTTTAAGCAATGTTTTGAAATTTCCAGAAAAATCCAATCTTTATCCACTTTTTACAATACCCTCTTCTCTATCTCTCTCTTGATGGTTCTTTCTAGACGGCAATTAAAAGGTTTACATGCTTTTTGGTTGCGACCCATATAGCTATTTGCTTGTTCTTGGTATTTATGTAGTTTTTTTTGGTGTTTTTAGACGATTTGCAGCTTGGATTTTTTCATTTGTTTGTATTTGTGCTTGCTTCAAAGATTTTGCCTTTTTTTTTTTCTTGGTTGATTTTGTTTCTATGAATCTAAATTTGTGCCTGTTTTGGTGGGTTGACATTGGTTAGAGTGAATTTGTAATAAATTTATAGTGTTTAATATGACCTTGTGGAGAAGGTTTATGCATCGAATTGGCATTTTTTAATGACTTCAAATTTTCTCTTTTTGTGAGAATAAGTGTATCGTTTTTGGTATTGGTGGGCCTATCCAATAATCTTGGAATTTTTGTTCATAAATAAATTCTCATGTGCTATATCTGTGTTTAATTTCTTTGCTTGTAGAATCCACAAGCTGATTCCCATTTTTTTTTATTTGCGTCTTTGTTTCTCAATGCTAATTATTTATGATATGTCAGTCTTTTAATAGAAAACTAAATAGAAATTTCAGCAATTGCAAAAGGTTATGGTAATTCTTGGTGACGAGGATAAAAGCACAGCCTAAGATTGGTTGTGTTGATGATGCTGTAAGTGCTTCTCCTTTTCATTCTAGTTATTTTATTAGGATCATTACAAGACACCAGTGCAATAAAATTTTCTGTGTATACTTTATAGCATTTGATTTTGACTTTTGAGGGCAGAGACAGTGTCATTCTTTGCGAAGATAATTGCAAGTCATAGCGAGCAATGATGTGCAAGTTTCAATTTTTCTTCTTATTAACGTTAAAGAAACAAAAATTAATTCATTTCATCGTTCTGAAAAGAAAATAAATGATTTGTTTTCTTGAGGGAGTGAAATGTTTTGTTTACATCAAGCATTGTGAACCTCAGTGCTGCTTTTCTTGTTGCTCAAGATCATGCAGCGGATGTTGTTTAGAGTTTAAAGGACTTCATCTAAACTTTTTACAAAAAATCATACTATCTAGTCATGCCTCTTTCTTGTTTTCATATACTATTATTTTTGTTTGCCAATAGCTTTAGTTGACACTAGGCTTCAAATTCACGTCATTGAAGCTGATATTGATGAGTTGAAGCAAATCATAAAGAATTTGATTGAAAAAAAAAGGATTTGATTGACCTCCATAAGAGCATCTCCAATGCTCTCTTTATATTAAGATTTTTCTTTATAATAAAGAGGTTTGATCCAAATTTCATCTTCAATGCTCTCTTTATCACAATCTTTATCTTTAAAATTAGTATAAAGAGTGTCTTTGGCTCTCCAATACTAGAGAGTCCAAATGACTCTTTATCTTATATTTTATTAATGAAAATTACTATTTCCAATGCCACTCAACCTCTTCACCAATAGCCTATATGGGTTTTATAGATTTTATCTAAATAAAGAGTTAAATACAGAGTAGCATTAGAGAGGGTATTGATCTTCTATCTATATAATTAATGATACTCTCTATTTACATTAAAAATGCTAGCTAAAAGTAAAGAGCACCATTGGAGATGCTCTAAGGAGTGCCAAGGTAACATGAGCAAGTAGAAATTAAGTTTGAGTTTCATTGATTTAGGCAACAAAAGCTTTGGAATCTGTAGCACCCACTTTCGCAATTATCAGATAGATTGTTGATGCTATATTGTAATGTTGTCAATTGACTACTTTAAAATAAATGAGAATATGTTCCATGGTGGTTAGTGTATCAATGTAGAATAGGGCAGCTACTTGTTTTTTGTGTTTTGTTATGTGAGGCATCTCCTTTACAGTGTCCCATGAGTTGCTTAATTCAGTTATGTGCTTAATCTGCTGTGATGCAATTATGAAACTTTGAATTGGATTTTTTTATGTTGAAATACATGAGTTTGTTATGTAATTTTAGGCATTATATAGTCCTTGTTCAAACGGTCAATGTCCCATCTCAAAAAGCTATCTCTTTTTTAACGCATAAATAATTTTAAAAAGCATCCTGGCCATTACAAAATTTTAATGGCAAATTTGTAATAATTTTAACTCTTTTTTTTTTTCAGAAATTTAAGACTATTAACGAAATCAAAATACAAGGTATTTTCTAAAATAACATTGTAATATATAAAATATAAAAGCATAACTTATGAAAAATGACAGTGCAAAGTGTTTTCGTGCTTAAACTACAAAATGTTTAAAGTAATTTACCTAACATTAAAACATGGATACTAAGTTAGAGAGAGAGAGAGAGGGGGGGGGGGGACATGAGAAGAATTTTTTTTAAAAAAGAAAAACTTTGGATCACAATATCTTAGCATGAGCTTCAATTTAAGATGCACAATGAAAATATTTTTCAATAAGATGTAAAAACAACAAAAAAAATCAACAAAGCCATCTCTTAAACTAGATCACATCAAGGTCATTCAAGTTGTTCTAAAGATTATGATAATACATGACTTAAATTATGCATTGTTTGAAACCTTATTATTTTTCAATTAAGTTATTTTTTTCTTAATAAAATTACAAAATCAAGTGATACTATAGTATACATCTCAAAATTAATTAAGAATTTGAGAAAATAAAATATATTATTTTTTTTAAAAAAAATCATATTACTTTTTTATTTTAGTCTTAAGATATAAATTTTCTAAATTTAATTTCAATAAAAACATTTTACCAAGTTGGAAAAAAATGCTATAAAATATACAAAATTTGGGTTAAGCATTTTTAATGGGTATGATATCTATTACTATTCATGTTTAAACACAATAAAAACAATACAAATAAACATATTTATAACGAATACGACAACCAAAAAACAAGATTACAATAATATAGTCAAATGACTAAACAATTGATCATATACAAACAATCAAAAGTCTAAAATTGTTTCACCTCCGTACACAGGGCATAGGACTAGTTAAATAAGTAAACTTAAGCATCCAATATTTGTCCAAGCACAGGTAACTTATTTGAGCATCTTAAGTTGTGCAATAACATCGGCATCCTATGCATTACCCCTCCAATTAGGAAATCATATATGGAAACAAAGTGAAAGCACTAGAATTCTGATTTCCATGTCAAAAACCAGTCACTTAGCAACCTATTTGCCCCAGAGACGACATCAGATTTTTGTTTGCTATGTAGAACATAAAATTCGTCCAAGAATGTAGAGCGATGAAGCCTATCCATCTAAAAAAACACTGACCTGTGCAGTTTAATTGATTAATGAAATGTAGGACCCCTCATTCAAAGTTTTAGGTTAAAAAAGTGCTGCTTAATGTCACATGCAAGTATCAATCAAACTAATACTCTAAAGCATTCAGTTGCATGCAAGAACAGCATCAAATCCAATTCAACTAATGCCAGTCCCGAGCTAGTTGGAATTGGCTAAGTATATACTTGAAACAAAGTTCAATTTCAATATAAATTTGTCTGCAGAAGAAAACATCAACTTGAAGTAACTTAACAATGCAAACTATGCACCTTATGTGTGTTGCCACAGTTGTTATCAAAGTGTACATTAATCAATCACTATAACAAATATACAGAAATGAAAAGATTGAAGAGTTTATAAAAGATTCATGAATCATTGAGTCGAAGGGACACAAAGTGCTTCGATTACTCCAGTTTAGTATTAAGAAGCATACCTAGTTTAGTTTATGATGAAGGGTCCTTTCCCTTGACTACAATAACAGGGCATTGTGCATGGTTGGTGCAGTAATTGCTAACACTTCCCAAAAAGATCCTGCAGACAAACAATAAACTTAAGCATTTTTAGCATTCTGAATGAGCACATTGACATGCCAGTCATCCCTTTATGTCTAAGCTAATGAGATTATCTTCTTACAGTGAAAAACTGCCCATGCTTTGTCCCTTGAAGGTCTACTAAACTTTCAAATGCATGATTAAATTGTGAAGGAAAAAAAGTAAATGAATAAAGTACATCAAATGCCAATAAGTGATTGAATGACATTGAAATGAAAAGTTCAGTAATTAGTATCTAAAAGGTACCTCAACAACAAGTAACCAAAAACCTTGTCCATATATCTATTCATTGGTAAATTAAAATTATTTGAGGGATTCAGTTAAATGGATGCATGAATGGTTGCAGACTCCATTACGTCTGCAAATCCCATCCAACAAAAAACCCACATAGGTCATCCTTAGCATTTCTGACCAAAATAACTATTAAAGAAATTGCTATTCCTGCTAGAAATAACTGATTGCACCAAACGCAATCATATAATTAAAATTGATAACACATAACTCTAACCCTCAATCACTGAAATTACCACCAGTAGTGCACTTACGGCTTACATATGATCAATTAAGGAGCTAAAAGAACCAATATAAGCCACCTCCATTAGATTTTCAACATTACTAAAACGAAAATTGTTATTCAAGCACTAAAATGCTAGCAGTCAAATAAATTAATCTCGAGTAGCATGCACTAACTACCTTTTAATAGGGCCAAAAGAACGACTGCCCATCACAAGCAAATCAGCATGAAGATTCTCAACAACTTCACATATCTTCTCCTTTGGATCCCCAATTACCACTTGTGTTTTCACATTCACCTGAGCATTAAAGTAATTGTCAACAAAATAGCAAAATGAATTAATGGAGATAGCAACTCATAAATTGCTAATATGAAAAAAACAAGTTACTTTCTTTTCACGGCAAATCTCCAAGGCATGTTCTAGAATCGCCTCCGTAATCTTCCTTTGATGCGATTGAATCGCCGCCGTGAAGGCAGGTACCTCCAGATCACCTTAATTAATTCCAAAACGACCATTCAGTAATTAAATTCGCCGGATTAAAAACGAAAATTAGAAATCATGACAGTCAAACAGTAGCGAAACCAGAAGACGGATGAGTTCAAGACTTAACTGGGTCCACCGAAAGGGATGGCACCAGGATTGAGGCCAGCAGCAATAGACGGTGGTGATTGGACATGGAGGATGACAAAGGAGCCAGGGGTTTCAGTGGAGTCGGGAGCAGCAGATCGGAGCTTGAGGTTATCGAGGGCCCATCTCAAGGCGTACATACTCTCCTCGCTTCCATCAACGGCCACGATCACGCATTCAAGGTTTGCAGTCATGGTTTGATTGATTAACTTCGAGTATCGAGTTGGTCTACAAATCCTAGATGTTTCTGAGGATTTGTTTTTTCGTTTTTTTCTTTTCAACGTGAGATGAGACTCTGAGAGAGTGATAGACAGGGAGAGAGACGTGAAGGAGACGGCTCTTGGATGCGCGCCCATAACAACTTATGGGCCTAATAAGGCCTTTTCTGTAATGGGCTTACAATATTTTTCTAGATAAACTATCACCTGTTCAAAAAACGGGTCTTGGCTCCGTAGTCTTAAAGAATTTTCTCGGAATTCCAGGCTGGGTCAAATCATGGTTCGTTTAAAGAATTTTCGCAAGCTTTTGGTTCAGGTCGTGCAAACATCGGTCAATGTTATTCTGGACTCGTACGTGGAAAGTGAAGAGGTTCTTGGAAATTTCGAGTTTCTAAGGCAAGCTCAACAGAAAATTCTCAAAATTTCTTGTCTTTAAATTCTGTTGAAAAAATACTTCCAGTAAAACTTTAAGTAATTATTTATTATTTTGTAAATTGCAATGATTCTGAAGAGATATTTTAATACCATATGTTATCTAAAAAAATTGATGATTTAACCACATCCGGGTTTAAGAAAATATCTATCTTCAAAATGCATTATTTATATATAAAAAAATATATATCATACTGAGTTCAACTTTGGTTTTTCTTCATACGCTATTGGTTTTAAATACTTTGTTGTTATTATTTCAAAGTTAGTAAATTAAAATTTATTTTTTTGAAAAATAATCCACTACATGAATTATAATGAATTTTTAAATTATTGTTTTTAAATAAATGACCCATTAAGTCTATGTTTTAATAATTTGTTTGATATTGGTTTGAATCCAAATTAAAACTACAATACACTACACGTTTGGAGCTGTATATACAAAGCTTTTTGGTAGGAGTTAATATATTCTTTAAGTACATTAAACATAAAACCATTGGAATATTGATAAAATATTTAGTTTTTTAAAATAATTTCACTGTGTTTTAACCTAATGGATTAATTGATTCTTTATTAACTAATATTAAAATCATAATACAAAAATGATCATAATAGCTGATATATCAACAAAAGCATAAATTTAAATTTGAAAAATATTTTTATTCCGGACAGGATAGTCTGAGTATAAAGAGTATTCTCGTAGTATTTTTTTTAAACCATAGGGGAATTTATGTCTCCGTATTTATAGAAAATGTAGTCCTGTGAGATCATTAGAGATTATTGTAATTTTCCGTTTTATTTTTATTTTTAAATTTTATTTAAGGGGTTGGTTTAGCATAATATTCTTGTCGCTGTGGGGGATTTGAAACTTTTCTCCAGGAAGAAAAGCCCAAAACCAAATGCCCTGTTGCTTTTGTTTATTTATAGGCTGCCTATAGATGTTTCAACTACCGATGCAATTGCTATAGTTTTTTTAGCTGTCCTCCTTTTTCTATTTTACCTCGGCAACTCCCGCCATTGGCATGGTCTATAAATAACCCTGCACATGTAGCATGCACCTAATGGAAAAGAGTATAAACACTGTGAAGGGGACATTGCTGCTGAGAATTCCTAACCTCCCAATTTCCTAATCAAGAAAGTTGAACATGCTTGTTTTAGTATGTTCAGCTTTGAAGATGGAATTGCAAAAAATGGAAGAGGAGGAAAAAAGAAAGGCGCATCATTTCCGAATGGATCAAACGAGTAGTTCACGGCAACTTGTTAGATGTAGGACCTTATGGATCCGAAAAAACGAGTTGGCTTACCCAAAATATAGAGAAAAGATCTCCATACTTTCAGAGGCTCAACTAAGATGCCACCTACTTAGTAGCTTTTTCCCTGCTTTTCATGTCTGGAAATGATAAGATAGCTTGCAAGTAGAGCATTCACATGCGGATTAATCTCTGTTAATTTGCAACTCCAATCTTTTGTGGGTATTAGTTTGAATATGGATAATCTATGTAAGTTGAGACGGAGAATGAATTTATTTCCAAATGTAAAATTTAATTCGGAAATATTCTGATTTTTCTTTAAAAATACGGAGAAAATGCTTGCAGTACAAATTGGACAAGGACAATTGGTAGGATGGTAGTTGAGGTTCTTTTCCTCTTATTCGTGCAGATTTCTCGACACATGTTTCTCTCGTGGTGCAATTCGGAATTGCATCAATCCCTCTATTCCCCCCTGTGTCGATCATTTTATAGGCGTGACACGTTGGTTTTTAACTTCCAACTCGTGCAGCAGTACTTCAAAAAAGAAGGAAAAATGCTCTTGTTATCACGATACTGTTAAGCCATGGCTTGTTTCAAACTGAAGGAAATATATGATTATGGTGAAGAAATTTCCTCAAGATGACCACCCAAGCGTTATCTTTAAGTCAGTTGCCCGTCCGACAAGTTGGAAGCAAAAGGCAAGCAAAGAGTCAAGATTTTGGAAGTTATGCATCCAACTATGACTATTTATTCAATTGCTTGTATTGATTAATGGATCCACCCACATCACCGAATTTAGTATTTTCCTTAAAAATGAAAAACTCAAACGTTATGATTACCAAAAACCCCATCTCATTATCGCTATGAAATCTCAAGCTTTTTAACAAACTTTAACTAGTCTTTTTTTCATAAACTTGTGAAATTTATTTCGATTCATTTTTTTAAGTTAATAATATCAAAATTAACATCAAATTAAAAAACAAATTAATTATAAAAGTATTATTATTAAATATAAACTCTTGTAATAAAAAAAATTACTAATTAATTATCTATTTGGAATCTACTTACTAAAAACCGGGATGTAATAAAGATAATTGTACTAATTAGTTATCCATTGGATTCTACTTAATTAAAAAAAAATAGAAAAGAAATCTATTTGAATTTGTGTGTCTGTGTTCTACTCATAACTACCATTTTTTTAAGGTCGTGTACGATTTCCCCACCTCTCCTTTTTCTCTATCTTTCTTTATAAATTTTATTTGATATACAACTAAATACAATATTTATTTTTTGTATATACATATCTACCTCCTTTTTTCTATACATTTTATTTAAGTTTTTTTTTTTTTTAGAATTCATATCCGTTCATTTTTAATTACAAGTAGTGTGTAAATTTTCTTATTCGTTTTTAATTAGAATTAGTTTTATCCATTGATTTGTTGAATTAAATCTAGTTTTATCCATTGATTTGTTGAATTAAATCTTTATATTTTAATAAATAATAGTTATTACTTTTAACAATAAACCACGGCAACACGTGAGTAATCTACTGGTCACTTGTTAATATTCGTGTTTGCAATTGACTAGCATTTATGACTCGTAAATGAAAATATTATTAGAAATTCAACCTCACTCCATATAAATTAGATTTTGTAAAAAAATAATTATCAAGTAAAACACACAAGCAATAATTAAGAGTATAAAAAAAATCAATTACATGAGCACAATTACAAAAACATTAAATTTACGTGGAAAAATCTCTTTATCGTATGAGGAAAAAACCACGAGATCAATTTCAAAATAATCCATTATAACTGAAAAAAAAACATGCATTTAAGTTTCTCCATAGACTTGAGAAGAAAAAATATTAACGACAATACAAGTTATCTCTCTAGTTAAATCCGTATCACTATAAAAACCTATAATCTTTGTGTTTTTATAGAGACCAATATTGTATAAAATCATCACTTTGAATACTACGAGCTTTTTGTAATTGTGGCATCTAAAAATCAATATTAGAGAAAATTCGATATTCTATTGATCAAATATCTTTACCTTCTTGCTTGAAAATTAACAAACTTAGAGTAAAACCCTTTCCTTTTCTATTACTTTTCTTGGGAACAATTCTCAACGAAAAGACAAACTCTTTCTTTTACAAGTTCATACGTCGACGGTAGCAAAAAAAAAAAAATCTTTCCTTTCACCCCACACTTGCATACACTTCATGTTTTGCTCTTTACTTTTGATGTCTTTTTCACTTTAATTTTTTTCCTAATTTATTTCCTTATTGTATTAGACCTGCGGCATGCTTTCGGTAAAAATGTCTCCCTCCATCCTATGAGAGAAAAATCTTAATTCATCATCATGAATTTATACTAATCACATTAGCACATAATCTATTATTATTGTGCTCTGTCAATTTTATCAACATATGACCAAAATATTCATTTTAGAGAATCATTCTAAGCTTTATCAATTGTTTTTTCATTACCTCACCGAGTCAACGACATCGCGAGTTATTAAATGTTGATGTATAATCCTTATCATATGTCAAGATATTTTGAAAGCTATTTAGCTTGCTCTCGTCTATCAAAAATACATTGTTAGATCTATAATTATTGATAAAAGAATTATACTAATTAGCAAACTTACTTACTTGAGACTCTATATTATGAACTAGTGGGTCTTGCTTCCCTTATTCAACACCCTTTGCTTCTCTATCATCATTATATGTAGCAATCTATTTAGCAAAATAACACAAAACTTGTTTACTTGTTTTTTTTTTCATTCACATGTCGTCTAGGCCATAGTTTTTTGAGAAGTTCTATATTTAACTACATTATTCTCATGTTTGATCAACTATATTTTTATATTGTACAATTTATCACAAATATCACATATAGCAATAACCATTAATCTTTTAGCGAGTTTTTATCTTCTACCACCAAAATAAGTGTATTATCCGACAATGTCCAAGACATGAGTAGAAATTATATTAGGATGTAAATTTGCGACATGCAACTTGTCTTTCATAGTTAGTGTACAAACTATCTTTATATATGCATCACTAACTCCTAAAACGTTAGCATGACTATTACTCGTTCATTTGTACTATATTAAAGTCTCTTACTTTGTTTACAATAAAGAATTTTTGTTTCTTTAAAATAGCTTGATATGCACTTACCGAGTTAACATCCCATTCGATATAAGGATCCGCAACATATACTTATCTCGTCCACACAAGGGCACCACTTGCATCTTAATATGAAGTTAACAATGTGTGGTGTTTTTATTATCTTCAACTCAACTCTTCAATTTTTTTTGTTCTTTCGTTTATTCCTAACATTTTTTCTTGATGTGATATTCTTTGTCACATCGATAATGGTCAAAACTACTATTAGACTGTGATCTATTTCTAGATTTATTATGTTGACTAAATTCTCTCGTTTTTACTATATTATTTATTCTTTTATGTCAAGAGTGCATACATTATCCACTATCACTTTATTTCGTCTTGTTTTTTCACACACAAGCTACTTTTAACCATGAATAATGATAAAATACAATTCAGAATAAAATTCTCAAGTGTCACAAACAAAATCTATTAGTTGTCTTGCAAAGTTCCTATTGTTTCAAATAGCAACAATACTTGTAACTCATCATCTAACACTATTTTCATGGTTATCATTTGATTAATCAAATAATAAAAACAATTCAAGTGTTAGCAATGGACTCGTCCATCTCCGTATTTAAAATTCACAAGTTTCCTAATAATTTTTTATTTTTATTTTTTGTAGTCATCTTTTCATGCATACTCTCTATTTTTTTCCCCTTCATTATTAGGCATCTATCTCTTTAGGTGCTTGACAAAGCACACTATTGTTTACCATTTGTTCGATAACTCCAATAGCTTTCTTGTGTTTTTTTCTTTCAAGTATCACCGAGTCTTAGCAGTTGGTTTGGCTTTTACCTAATGTAATCGAATCACACAAATCATGGTAATAAAGTAAATTCTCTAGACTCGATTTCTAAATCTAATCATTTGAAGTTATTAGTTTGATTATGATTTTTAAATTATTTTCTTCATTCAATTTACACAAATATTCCAACAAAAACTCTAATATCACCACTCATAATTTAATCTCACACATTCTAAATTAGATTTCATGATAAAAGAACACATAATCAATAATTAAAAACACAAAATGAATCAATTACAAAAGTACAATCAAAAGAACACCAAAAATTCGTGAAAAATCCTCTTTATCGTAGGTTAAAAAGAATCACGAAATCAATTTCAAAATAATTTATTATAATAAAAAAACCAATACAGTCACCTAAGTTTTTTTTTTTTTTTTGTAGTACTAAAAAATTAATTTAAAAAAAAAACCTTAATATTTTATGTATAAAAAATCCTGCCTCATTGTTGCAGAAAACAACAAAATCAACGATTTTTTTTTTCAGCCTCTCTGGTTATTTATTTTATATCTAATGCGTCAATAGTTGCAAAAACAAAACAGAAAAACAATTTTTTTTTTTTCATGCCACTTCTGCAGACACTTCATGACTTAGTCCTTTCTTTTCATTTTCCTTTTTACTTCAATATTTTTATTAATTTATTTCTTTACAAATTATGCTAAGGAATTGAATCTGTTGCATACGCACAGCAAATACTAATCCCATCAATTTGAGCCGGCTCTGTCTTCTTGCTATCATCAGCCAAAAAAGGTGAGTTGCGACCAGGACTTCTGCAACTCCTTCCCGTGGAAGGCATTTGCTTGTAGAATGATTCATTCCAAGCCATAAAACCCACACATAAACAGTATAGAAATTGGCGAGTGACCCATCATCATCATCATTAAAATTCTCAATCTAATCCAATCTACAAATCGCCACCGTCCGATCTCACATTCAGCCAAATCCCATTTCCCATCACATGGCTCCATCAGGCAACCGTCCAACATCAAGCATCTTTGACAAAGACAACCATCAAGCATACATGCAACCTGAAAAAATAAAAATAAAAAACAATGCATTAATCCCTTAATAACCAATAACATTTAAAATAACATTTGTTAGCAATAACTGAATATAAAAAATAACAATCAATCAAGAAAAAATTAGAAATATGATGGATTTTCTTTTTACTTCAAACCTTGTACGTCTTGTTACAGCATAGTCTGTAAATAAATTATATTTATCAAAAAGTTTATAATTTAGTGATAATGTTCTCTTACACAATATTATATTTTGGTATTTTAACAAATTAATTATACTAGTAATCTTACATGTTTGTTGGATTTGTGATTTATATTAAAAAATAGTAAAAAATCGATAGGTTATATTTGATTATTAGATTAAAGAAAATAAATTCAGTGATTGAAAAACAGAGAAAAACAGAGACCAAGTGGGGGCCACGGAGGTCCGAATATTTGATGAGCAAAGAATTCACGCATCTCAATGCCCCTGAAAACAAAATTCCTTTCCCTCAACCATTAAATTTCTTTGTTTAGAAAAACAATATTAATATAACATATATATCCAATTTAGCCTCCCCCACTTTACGTTTTCTCGTTCTCAATTCCCACTCTTAAAAAAAGAAAAAAAAAGAAAAAAACACCAATCCACACCAACAAAAAACAACAAGCCTTAAAATCTCGATCTGATTGTCCGAAAATCCCCAAGCTTTAAGACCAGAAATATTTCTCTGTCTCACAGCCTGGACATGAAAACCCAAGTCTAGTTAATTTTCCTCAAAAGATCCTCTGCCACCGTCGTTTTTTCCATCAGCGGCTCCGATCTTGCAATCAACCGATGCAAAATCACCGACGAAGACAGCAACGCCATCTATGTACGAGATAAGGAGGTTAAAAATCGTGAAATTTGGTGGATGCTGCGCATTTTCATAAATGCATGTCGAGGGGGATCTAGGGTTTTCGAGCCTGGTGGTCCTTGTTTTCTGTGTAGTGGTTATTCCGGTGGGTTGGTTTGTAATTAGGTGTAAATGGCGGGGTGCGGTTGCAAAAAAGGAGGAGATCAAGAGGTTGTTGGTTTTAGCCGCGGAAGAAGCCGCCAGGGCTGAGTTTGAAGCCACGGCTTCTTACGGCACCGTTCCTGTTTTGAAAAATAATTATCAGTTGAAAAATAATTATCAGTGTGCTGTTTGTTTTTGCCCGACTACGACTCGGTGTGCCCGCTGTAAAGCTGTTAGATATTGGTATGTTTATTTGGTGTTAATGCTTGATTTTTATCGGGTTTTAGTTCTTGATTCGGGTTCAGTTCAGGGGAATTTTGATGTCTTTGTTGCTGTTTTTGCTTGTAATTAAGTGAATGAGAGTTAATTGCTGATATAATAATTGTGTAATTTTTTTTAGGGAAGCTGTTTTAATAGTAAACTTCGAGAAGAATCTGATTCTTTACTTCACATTGTTCTAGTTAGAAAAAAGAAGAAGTGGAATTAATCACGAAATAGAGGTTTAATCTGTAGGGATTTCTAACTGACTAAACTAATTATGAATCTTTATTAATTAGATGCTAAATGCGGGATTTTTAACATCTAAGCCGACTAGTTTTTTGCTTTGCGTGGGTTACATGAACCTTCCATTCACATATTGGTTTTGTTAGGTATATGGGAAACTAAGGAGAAGGCTTGTATTACTAACTGAAAACATTTTAGTTTGTTAAGAAGCCGTTGTGGTTAGTATCAATCCTTAAAGGAATTTGTAGAGATTTTCTATCTAATTGATCAGTAGCTGTGCATCTGGTTTTATACGTAAACAAGTCACTACTGGATAATAGCAATTTAATCTTTATTGTTGTACGAAATTAAATTCCCAAATATTGCAAGTTGGTAGTATACATGGATTAGCATGGAATGCTTGTTTGTTTGAAGTAAATAGTGTTTAATTCCACTATTAATCTGTTATGTAATTGTACCAAGGCTGCTTTGCATAACCAGGAGTGTACTGCAATTTAATATGATTTAGTGCATGAACTTTTAACGAAACTTGTTGTATAAGGACCTAACAAAGTTTAGCAACTTGTGAGGTGTTCTTCTCTACAGCCTGTAAGACTTATTTTTTCAATTAACTACAACAGTTTTTGTTGCATTCCTTTTCCACTTTCTTTAAGTAGGCTTCTGATATTTCGATTTGTATATTGACTTCATAATTTGGTTTGTTTCAGTTCTGGTAAGTGTCAAATTATCCACTGGCGACAAGGTCACAAGGAAGAATGTCATCCTCCTACCACCGCATGCCATATTAATGATGATGGAGGTGATGTTGGCCAGAGGGCGGTTAAGGAAGACCGACATGATATTTATGATGGCAGATATGAGAATAGATCAATTGAAACATTCTCTGTGGAACCTGTGGTGTCTGATTCTAGTTACTGTCCTGGAGTTTTACCTGTAAAGGATGATGATATTAAAGTTGATTCTGTTTTAGATACAGAAGGAACAGATTCTATTTCTGAATCGTCAGGCACCTCGTTTTCTGGATTTTCGACTCCTACTGGCTCTTCATTTTCTGGATTCTCTACTCATTCAGGGGGTGAATCATCTGACAATGTTTCTGTAAGCGAGAGCATCAGTTCAAATGAAACAGAGGGATCAGACGGACAAACACCAGCTGATATTGCCCCTGACACGCTGGATTCCAGTTTGAACAAGGTGGATATGACCAAGCCATCCTCTCCAAAGTTTGCTACTTTGGTTGATTCTGTAGATAGTTTTAATAAATTGAGTAAATCAAATCAGAGTAAATCTCACAGCAATGATGGGGAGAGTCAGTGCTTATCTAGTTCTTCAGGTCATAGCATCAGTGCCAGGAATGATGATTCAATCACTAAGCCAACTAAAGTTTCTTCTGGTTTTTGGGGTAGAACTCTGGATTCTTTTGTGTCCAGCAGTGATGCTGAGGACAGATCTGCTCGGTCAAATTTCACTGGCTCTGGTAACAGCAAGTCATCTAATGATGAAGCGTTCGTACATTTCAAGTTCAATCTATCTGGAAGTGATGCTCCTACCCAGCATGCCAAAAGCTCAAGGGTGAATGGCATCACACCAGATGATGCACTCCCTTCTGCTTCTGGGGTCAGTCGGCCTGTTGATAGAGCAGTTTTATCAGAAAAGAATGGTGTTGATGCCCGAAAACTCAAGAGCTCCCCATCCAGGAGCTGTGAAAGGTCCAATCATATTGATAATAACTCTAGTGGTGGTTCAGATGTTTCCAGTGTGCGTAAATCTATATCATCATCCTCTTCTTACGCTCATGTTTCTTCCACTTCTGGAGGAGTTAAATTAGATACAGGTGCTTCAAAAGTATGCAGATCTCTGTCCTCGAGATCTGAAAGGTCTGATGCTGTTGTTAATGACCCTGTTGGTACTTCACATCTATCTAAGTCCAGATTATCATCTAGTGCTTCTCAGACCCATTTCACTTCTAATGTTGGTTGGAATTCAGCTTCAAGTGTGAAATTTGGAAATGTTGAAAGTGTTGGACCGGATGCCGCAGGTTCCTCTCAAATGGCAAGTTATTCTCCTAGTTCTATTAATGGATTGAAGTCATCAGTGCGGAAAGTTGTTGAGCAATTCAGAGGACCTAAATGTGGAAGATATAGTAACAAGGTTTGGCTTATATTACTGGTTCTTGTTTGCATCTCTAACATTCTTTTTTCCTGTGATGCAATGAATTTAGCATGAGATTACTTTTTGCTTTTCAGGGCCTTTTCCCATATGATTTATTTGTGAAGTTATACACTTCGAATAAGGTGGAAATGCGACCATGTGGCCTCATCAACTGCGGAAACAGGTATGTGGCGTGATTCTTTTCTAGGGAAAGCAGATTGAAGTAACTAAAAGGTGTATTATTCCTATCAGCTGTGATTGAAAGGGTTTAGCTATCCATTATTTAGAGGGTTTAGCTATCCATTATTTAGCAATGTGAATGCTATATGCAGTTGCCTTGATGTTAATCATGCCTGTGACTATCTGATTGCATCTTCTCCACTTTTTATGTCAGCATTACATAAACTTCCCCAAGATGCTGATAACAAATCCTTTCTTTCATTTCTGCAGCTGCTATGCTAATGCTGTTCTACAATGCTTGGCATTTACTCCTCCTTTGACTTCTTATTTTGTGCAAGGGCTCCACTCTAAAGCATGTATGCTTCTCATCATAGTCACCTTATTAGATTTTACATGTTGAGTTTTGAATAGCATGTTTGGTAACTTTTTCATAGTAGACAAGATCATTTTCTTTTTCTCCCCGTACAGGTGTAAATAAAGAATGGTGCTTCTCTTGTGACTTTGAAAGTATAATTTTGAAGGCAAAGGAAGGGAAAACTCCACTTTCTCCCATTGGCATACTATCCCAACTACAGAATATTGGGAGTCAGCTTGGTAATGGCAGAGAAGAAGATGCACATGAATTCCTAAGGTGAGCTGGTGTCTTTGCTCTGCAACCTATGAAGCAGCAATTTCTGTTGTTTTTATGATTTCAGCTTTTGGAGAATTTCATGATATATCATATATGAACAATAAACAGGTATGCAATTGATGCAATGCAATCTGTTTGCCTTAAGGAAGCTGGGGTGAATGCATTGGACTCCTTTGAAGAAGAAACCACTCTCATAGGTCTTACATTTGGAGGGTACCTTCGCTCAAAGGTAATCTGTTTTGGAGATTAATGACATTCAGATATTTGATGCTAAGAGATTCTCTTTTTGTTTCCTTTTCTCCCCTCAAACACTTATTTGCATCTGAATGCACAGTTTTGTGGAAAGTTCAATAATTTAGTTTATGCATACAAATTTGTGATGTTTGCAGATAAAATGCATGAAGTGCCATTACAAGTCAGAGCGGCAGGAAAGAATGATGGATCTTACTGTTGAAATAGAGGGGGATATAGGGAAGCTTGAAGATGCACTTAGACGATTCACTGGTACCGAGATTCTGGATGGAGACAACAAATACCAATGTGGCAGGTTCATCAGTTTACCTTTTCTGAGAAACTTCTTAAGCGTATTGTTTTGTATGTGTTTATTCTTCAACCCATTTTTTTTGGGTTGGGTGGGGGGGGGGGTGTGTGGGTGGGTGTTTACTTCAACTTTTTTGTCAAAACATGATTTTAAATTGTCTTAGGCAGCGTGCTGGTGATTTATTCTTTCTAAAATTCTGTACAGCAGTGAGACATTGCAAACTCAACTCAACCAAGTTATTTCAACCGTAAATGGTTTAATATTGATTTTATATTTGAGTTGCTTGCCAATTGGATCAAATAGTTTATGACTGAAAACAAACTAAGGTGTGATGCTTTGTGATATGTACAGCATTTTGACAATTGCTCTGCCAGTTTTTGCTTCCAACGAAATATCATGTTTTTCCAATCTGACTTTGTATTAATTCTAGTTTATATCGAATTTTCTCTTTTGTTGGAGTTGTTGGGTTTGAGCTTTCAGAGTTTGTTTACCATCATCATTCTGTTCAGATGCAAATCTTATGAGAAGGCTAAGAAAAAGTTGACAATATTGGAGGCTCCCAATGTCCTTACAATTGCATTGAAGCGTTTTCAGGTAGATCATGAAATCAAAGATGGTATTTATCCCTGTGTTATAGGCAAATTCTTATTCTTTTCTTTACTGTGCTTGATTTTACAGTCGGGTAAATTTGGAAAGCTCAATAAGTCTATTCGGTTCCCAGAGATCTTGGACTTGGCACCTTATATGAGTGGTACTAGTGATAAATCACCCATATACAGGCTTTATGGAGTGATTGTTCACTTGGATGTCATGAATGCTGCCTTTTCCGGTCATTATGTGTGCTATGTCAAAAACATCCAGAACAAGTGGTTCAAAATTGACGACAGCACAGTATGTTCTCTATCTTAATATTCAAAGCGAGTTCTTTTAATCATTTGATATGCTTTTCCCCAAAATGCTTATGCTTGATTTACTTTTACTCGTGGATGTCTCTTCACTTTGATCCTTGGGTATTTTGACATACTAACCTGACATCTCCGGCTCCCTTAGCTAAACCAAAAAATTTAACTTTATTTTTAATAATCAGCCATTGGTACCTTACAAGAAAAGTTAGGGGCTTGCGGTTTTGTGCTTTCATCAAGGAACCTTTGACATTTATTTATTTATTTATTTTTTAAGGATTGTTGTCTGATTAAATCTTTTATTTAGTAACCAAGCCTGTATGTTGTGTATTGTTTGTCTCTGTAAAGAAGTCAAAACCTTGATTATTGGTGACAAACAAATGTTTTGCCCATGTCTGTAAGGTAGCAGACTACATATAGAATCAGCGTTTGTTTAATGTAGTAGTATCTTTTAAGGCTGTTGTTGGTTTTTGGTCTGGAAGTATTAAGACCTCTTGGTAGCTGGGTCCTAAGTTCTTCGTAGGGTCTCAAATTGTGATGGTTCAGTGTTAATGCCTTCTCTGCTATGCATTAGTTTTTTTTTTTTTTATGGATAAAATATCTACATGTGTGTGTTTGTGCATTGCCTTTCTAATCTTTTGATCATGTTATTGGCGATGATTGGCTAGGTTACGCCCGTGGAACTTGAAAGGGTTTTATCAAAAGGCGCATACATGCTCCTTTACGCAAGGTGAATCTCAGGAGATTAGTTCAATGAAGATTGAAATGTCTTCAATGTTTTCTTGTTGTGGTGTTTGACTCAATTAAATTTTTGCAGGTGCTCACCAAGGGCCCCAAAATTGATAAGGAGCAGAATAATATCTTCTGATCCAAAAAATAAAAGCACTCCCTCCAAAATCTACGCAGCGAACACTGCATTGAATTCAAGATCCATGTCTACTCAATCGAGTGTTGCCCAATTGCATCCAGATTCAATTCCTCAGGATAATTTGGCCAGTGTTGAATCTTTCTATTTGAAGTTCCACCGGCTTCAGAGGATTTTAGAAGAGGACTCATCGAGTGACAGTTTCTCTTTTACTAGTGGCAACTCTGATGAAGGTTCCTGCAGTACTGACAGCACCCGCGATTCTACTGATGACCTTTCTGATTACATTTTTGGAGGTTGGAACTCTTGGAGGAACACATCTGATTCAGATACTTCATCATCTTCCTCCCCCTTGTACTCACGGCAATCACCCCATGCTGATGATATGAACCAGAATGTTACATATTCAGATTCAAGGGTTGGGGGTCCTGCTTTTTGGGACAGGATGCCGATTGGGAGCAGCAAGCTGGTGGATTTGGAAGGTACTACTTTTTTGCATTCTGACCCGACTAAACAGTGTAGAAAGTTAGCTAGTAGTAGTTGTAGGGATAATCACTCGAGAAAATTAGGTTCAGTTAACCCTTTCAATGGTGTAAAATCCGGGGTATCCTTTAGAAGATCAGTGAGTGAAAGGACAGATTAAGCATTTATAATCAGGTATTAAGTTAGAGGGGTAAATAAGGGTTGGGAAGGAGGGGCTGTATGTAATATTGTACTCTTGTAGTTGGCTTTGTTTAAAATAGATCGGCCATCACCTTTTTGTCAAATTCCTTTCCGGGATGTCCTCTTGAGTGTATAGTGCTAGGGACCTTTTCCAAACTGAGTCCCAAAAAGGGGTTTGGAGCCCAGACTGTTGTTTACTTGAAAACAAGATATAAAAATGATAAGGTAGATAATCTCATTTTAAGTGCTTCTTTTGTCGACATGAATCCGGTTGAATTTCTTTCCTCCTATTTTGCCCGCTTTTGACTTTGCTTCTGGTTATTTTCACAAGCCAGCAGGTGAAGAAACAATCTGGGCTCGAGCCCACTCTAATATGAAATTAGTGGTTTGTTTGTAAGTTTACCCTACTGCTATAGTAACCTACCAAGATCCACCCCACCCCAGCACAGCACTCCCATCTTAAAAGCCGAAAAGTGAAAAAAGTCGAGTTCTTTATGGAGAGCATGCTCCTGCCAATTTCGAATTTGCAAAGGCTAAGATGAGCTGCAAGCCTGGTTTTGTTCGGAACTTGGTTTCTAAAATGGAGTAAATTATAAATTAGTCCATTTTGTTTTGAAAAACAAATTAATTATTTTTTTGGCTTTGAAAAACTAATTATTTAGTCTTTTTTTTATTTTTAAATTTATTTAAAATTTTTGTTATAAAAGATAGAAATAAATTTTAAAATAAGTAAAAATATGGAAACATCGATGGAAAAAAAAACATTTTATAAAATATCAAAATATTAAATTGGTTGCAGTTAATAGTAGTTAAAAAGATTAAATAATTAATTTTTTAAATTAAATATTAATTAATTCGTTTTTCATAATAAGATGGATTAATTTGTATTTTAATCTTGTAAAATGTGATTTTCTGAACTGCCGATAAATTGTTAAGTGATCAAGTAGAATTTGAAGGTAGCAAAACGCATTTTTGGTCAATTTTGTTGTACCACTTTTTCAAAGACACAACTAGCATATATCCCGCGTGTTATTGCAGGATGAGTTATACAGCATTCTTATGTGTTTATTTATATAAAATATAAAAATAATTATTTAAAAAGATCAAGTGAAAAAAATTCAAAAAAAAAATCAAGCATATATCTCATATTTTGCTGTAAGGTTAGCTAAACGAAAATTCTACAAAAGTTAATAATATAATATTGATAATTATATATTGTTTGATATAAACATGTATTTTATTAGAAATATATATAATAATTGATAATTAAAATAATGATATGGTAGTTTTTTAATTTTAGATGATTAATTTTTACCATATGTTCTTCATTTGTACTTTGTTAATGAGATAGAGAAACCACCCAAAACAAAAGAACAAAAAAATTTAGTCAAATCGAGAATTTGGTAAAAAAAAATAGAGATAAAATTACATATGATAAAATTATAAAAAAAGAAGAAGTGAAGATCATAAAATAATGATCAAACAAAATAAAAAAACTATCACTAAAAGCAAAAAAATAAATAAATAAATTACTATAAGACTAAAAAAAAATCCATTATGCATAAGACATGAACAAAAATAAAACATGATAGAATTTTAATGACCGAAATAAAAAAAAATTACAAAATAAGAACCAAAATAGAAAATGTTTTTTTCTAAAAACCATAAAAAAAAATAGAATAGTGAAACAACATTTAATGTAGAAAGAATAATAATCAAATATAATAAAACCTTAATGATCAAAATAAAAAAAAAGATCACAAAATAAAAACCAAAGTATAACAAAAAGTTTTACTAAAAGTAAAAAATAGTTTCTTGTAAGGAAAAAATCAAATAAAATAAAAATTTAATGATCAAAATAAAAGAAATTATAAAACAGGAACTAAAATAAAAATAAAATTTTACTAAGTCATAAAACATGAATTATAATGAAAAGAAAAGTTTCTCTAAAAGCAAAAAAAAAAAAAAAAAGCTTAAGACAGTGAAACTTTATTTAGTTTTAATACAACAATGATAAAAATCAAACATGATAAAACTTTAATGATTAAAATAAAAATATATAACAAAACAGAAACCGAAAAGAACATAAATTTTCACTAAAAGTCGAAAAAAAATATTTATTATTGAAGAAAAAATCAAATATAATAAAATTTTAATAATCAAAATAAAAAAATTATAAAGTAGGAATTAAAATAAAAATAAAATCCATTAAAAGTCAAAAGAGAGACTTAGCTATAGTGCGAGAAAGAAAAGGAATCGAAGAAAAAAATACAGTAACAAAACAAAAATTATGAACAGTTAATCTGCAGTAACTGATAGAATATATTTACGTTTTGTTTTATTTTATTTTTTTTGGTTAATATTTGGTCGGTGGAGCCAATAATATGTTAGATGGCCTAAATTAAAAAAATAATGATATTAATTGTGTATATTTTATCATAAAAATATCTGAACCCAGCTTGTTATTCATTTTTTTTTTCAAAAAAAAAAGCTGTCTCAAGGCTTGATGAGTGTATTTTATCATTATACAACTAATAATAATAATAACTTAATGAGTACAATTTGGGGTTCCTTTCCCCTCCTTGTGCTAGCTATCAATCCTAATCACCAGATTGCCTAACCACTAATCAGGGGCTTCAATATCCGATTTACGACAAATAATGATGACGACGACGACGACGAAGAGTACATTTCAGAGTTAATCAATCATTCTGTCCTTGTATATTGGGTAATTTTTCCAATCGTCCTTAACTTCCAATATAAATTTCATAATCCTTATATCTTAGTATATTATTAAATTTTTGACCCGCGTTACTATCTGCAGATTGAATAAAATATATAAAATTATTTTAAAAAATTATTTCAGTTTAATAATCTGTTTTTATGGCAAAAAATAATTATAATTTTTTAATCAAAAATTTTATATTTAACTATTTATTATTTGTGTTTTTAAATTTTAGAAATAAATAATAAACGAAATAAATTGTTGGTTTCTTTAAAATTTTAACATCCAATTAATTGTTGGTTCTTTTAAAATTTTAACACCCAACATTATTAAGAAATAGAAATTAAAAAAAAAATCAGTGTTTAGAAGGAAAAAAAAAAGAGGGAAGCCGTTTACTTGTTCATGTGAACAATCAACGGACGGAAAAAAAAATCAATGTTTAGGAAAAAAAAAAAGAGAGAGGGGAGCTATTTACTGTTCAAATGAATAGTAAATGGGAATGGGGGAAGGCCAAAGGATGCTGGCAAAAAAAAATGAAAATTAAAAAAAACCAAATCACCGTAGCAATGAACAATGATTAATAATGTTCATTGCTACAGTGAAAACCGTTTTCCTTTAGTTTATAGTGTAATTTTTTACTCCCGTTATATCGCGGGTTGGATAAAATATATAAATTCATTTAGAAAAGTTATTTTGGTTTAATAATATGTTTTATGGTAAAAAATAATAATAATTTTTTAATAAAAAATCATTTATTTAACTATTTATTATTATTTTTTTAAATTTTAGAAATAAATAATAAAGGAAATGAATTATTGATTTCTTTAAAATTTTAACACTCAATTAATTGTTGGTTCTTTTAAAATTTTAACACCCAATATTATTAAGAAACATAAATTTTTTTTAAAAAAATTCAATGTTTAGAAAAAAAATAAAAAAAGGAGGAAGTCTGTCTACTTTTCATGTGAACAGTAACGAATGGGAATTTAAAAGAAAAAGAGGAGAGGGGTAGTCGTTTACTATTCAAATGAACAAGTACGGGAAAAAAAAAAGGAGAAGAAAGAAGGCCGGAGGGTGCCGACAAAAAATAATAATAATAATAATAAAGCACTATAGCAATGAACGAGTGATTTACATTGTTCTTTGCGACAATGAAAAATCGTTAAATTTAGTTTATAAACTAAATTTTTTGCCCGCGTTACGCTACGAGTATGATAAAATGTATAAAATCATTTAGAAAGGTTATTTTAGTTTGATAGTTTTTTTTATAGTACAAATATATAAAAATATATGAAATCAAAGGTGAAAATATTTTTTAAAAATTTTTAATATAATTTGAAATTAAATGGAAGAGAATTTTTAAAAATAAAAAATTAAAGTAAGAAATTTTAAATAATAAAAATAACCATCAAAAAAATTTCATTTAAAAAGTAAAAAAAAAATATTGTATAAATTATAATGATATACTTAAAAAATAAACACTAAAGTTCTAAAATTTTATTTCAAAATTCATATATTAAAAAAATAAAATTATTAACAAATAAAATTAAATCAAAAATTTTTTGACCCGCAACGTATAAAATATATAAAATAATTTAGAAAAATTGTTTCAGTTTAATAATTTGTTTTATGGTAAAAAATAATTATAATTTTTTAATCAAAAATTTTATATTTAACTATTTCTTATTTGTGTTTTTAAATTTTAGAAATAAATAATAAAAAAATAAATTATTGGTTTTTTTAAAATTTTAACATCCAATTAATTGTTGGTTCATTTAAAATCTTAACACTCAATATTATTAAGAAAAAATTAAAAAAATAATTTAAAAACAAAAAGAAAATGGGCTAACTGTTTACTCGTTTATGTGAACAATAAATGGACGAAAATTAAATAAAAAAAAAGTTTAGTGTTTAGAAAGAAAAAAAAGAGAGAGGAGGGAATGAACAGTAAACAAGAATAAAAGAGGAAAAAGGCCAACGCTGGCTTAAAAAAAAATAAAAAATAAAAATAAAATAAAATAATATAATATAATAATGAACAGTGATTGATACTATTTATTGTTATAGTAAAAACGATTTATTTTAGTATATAGTATAATGTAATGTAATGGATATCTTATCACTTTTCCCAATGAAAAGTGCTTTTAAAAATGCAAAATCTTGAAAAAAAATTGAAAAAAAGGAGAAAACTTTAAGAATATTAAAAGAACTTCTAAGCCAGTAGTAAAATAAAGAATGAATTTGGGAAAAAAGAAATTCAATGAATATGGCGTGAAAGTAAAATATAATAGAGATAAAAATTGAAAAGACAATAATAGGAGTTAAAACAATACTGACTTGGTGGATATATATTTTGTTCCAGCTTATGATAAACTGGGTCCAGTATACCAGGGATTTGTAGATCTTGAGATTTTATTTTGCTGTTTAATAATCATTGTTTATTTTGTCTATACACATGGCATTCAATTAGGCTTTTGTATGAGAGTCCATACATGAAATTATATATTAAGATTTTTTTAATTTAAAATTTGTTTTTATATTGAATGGCAGTCAGTATAAACACAAATCGACCGATTAACCCCTGCATTTTATCATAAGAAATCTTCCCTCCTATCCCTTCACCATGTTGGCATAGAGTTAGTACCATTATTATTATTTTTATTATTTTGAACAAAACTGAGGGACTGGTATGTGTATAAACGTAATTTCATTTGCATCTCGAAAGTTTGACCCCTTGGGAGCCATCCCTTTCTCTCTCTCTCTTCATTTATCTTTTCCTCTTTTTCTCCAAAACCAATAATGGGCATATGCAAATCCCAATCCCACCACCACCAAACACGAGGTACAGAGGAAGTCAAAAGACAGGAACAGTGTCAAACTTGCAAAACGATTGGCAGGAGGAAAGGACAACCACGTGGGGTAGGAACATTTGTTCAACTACCACTCACCAAACTCCATCCCTACACCGGACGAGTCCATCCCTACAAGGCTACAAACCTGTAGGACAAGAGGACCCAGGACCCAATACCATTCTTATTCAGTCTTCAGCTCTCTCCTTCCTGGGGTTAACAAGCACTGTTTGTTTAAACAGAAAAATCAAATCGAATTAAAATATTAATTTTGTTTTAGTTTTTTAAATTAAAATAAAACAAAAATTGAGTTGCATTTATTTCGATTGGGTTTTGAAAATTTTTAATTCGGTTTAAATCAAGTACAGATTTTTTTAAAGTATAGATATATATATCCCAACAGGAACAGGAACACGGTTGACAGTTCTATAACCTCAGTCGCATTCCTCTCTCAGCCCTTCCACAGTGCAGCCCTTCCACAGACCACAGTCCTACTGATTTGTTTCCCTTCCCTCTTTCCTTTGGCCCTTCCTTATTCCTTCCGAATTCCGCCGTTCGCTGCATCTCTTCCTCACTCTCTCTCCCAGAGTCACAATTACAGCCGCACCCTCTCCCTTCTCTGGTCCCTGCCAAAACTAGAAACAAGCACCGACCACCATCCAAGTCACCACCCACCAACCAACAGCTAGGCAGCCACCACAATCCACCAGCAAAGCAAAGTAGCTAACAACCACCACAACCCTCCAGTTAAACAAAGTAGCAAAAAAAGGGACCATTCAAGGGTTTGAATGTTTTGAAATGCATCATTTCAAATGCTTTGATTATTGGGGTGGAAAAAAAATAATGCCAGTTGATTGAGTTAGTTAATTATGAATTCAATTTGCATTGTTGTGAAAGAGTCGAGATTTAAAATTTGATGGGATTGTGTTTGTCGAAATGCATCATTATCTTGTGTACTTCTATTTTAATTTCGGTTCTCATTGCTCATTAGTGATTACTGTACGTCCTTGTTGCCGGCTTGCTGCTGGTTGCTTTCCATTTTCCTATAGTAGGCCTATGAAAATGAAAGATGACCATTTATTATTGCTATTGGCTATTGTTACAGGGGACCCTCCATCTTTCCAATTTGGATAGACATTTATTTGGTTGTTAGAGAGTTTTTTATTTATTATTTACTGATAGTGGGTATTTTTGAGTCGTTCTTTTATCGATCAAGACTAAATGATCAATCACTTCTTTATCTAAGTCAGTTTTAGATTTTTGGTCAATCAGTGGAATCTAATAAGCTCAAGTCTTGTATTACTAAATAAGGCAATAAGAATTGAACTTTTATTTTGATTAAATCAGAACAATTCTTGCATATAGACCACTTCCCTGTCATCGATTTGATGAAAAATTTTATAATACACAAATATTGATATATACAGTGATTTTTTTTTAGAAAAGAGATAGATATATAAAAAAATAAAAAATTATATTTATATTTATTAAAAATGATAAATAAGATTTTTACATTTGTTTAAATTTTTTTTTCTTTTTATGTGTTTGATTTTTTTAAAAAATAAGTTTAAAAAATAAATACTGAATATGTCATTAGTTATTTTTTTTATTATGGGTTTGTATAGTCAAGAAATGATGGTTAAACATGAAGTCTACTGCGTGGAGTGCAGAGTTAGAAGAGAATTATGCGATAAAACTCGTTCATCACTATGTAGTTGGTGGTAGACAAACTGGTCCAACACGCCATGGGTGCTAAAAACCAACATGAAACACTGCTCAAGTAAACCACTGAGATATTTTAAATCTGCAATCTAGATTTGAATGCTGATTTGAAATCATGAATATTAATATGAGGCATTTTAAATCCCTGAATAACAATTCCAAATTAGCAAGACTCCTTTTATTTAAATTTGCTTTATCTTATATTTTTCATATTTAATAAAAAAATTTCATTTAAATTAGCAAGACTCCTTCCAAATTCGCCCACTTGTCAGACCGCTGTAGATCCTCCGTCACCATGGCCCAATACGTGTGCCTGCTATCAAGTGGTGCCTGTCTTGTCAATTTGCACCCCACCCCCTGCATGTAGATGTAAAAGACCCATGCTGGCTCGTTTTAAAATTTCTCTCATTGCCATTAGGCGAATTTGGAAGGTCGTTTTTGTTTTATTTTCAACTTTCAAAAAGATGCATCGCTGGTGGGCAGAAGAAATAGTCAAAAGTCGCGGATGATAGAGGGGCATTCAAATTTGAATTTTCTTTTAATAGCTTAATTTCTACACACTTGTTGGACAACATTTTTTCTTCTGAATATCATTAGATTAAATGTATTTAGGATCATTTGACGTTTCAAAATCATTTTATTAACAGTCCAATTCATATTTAGTTGAGCTTTTTAAGCACGTGATAAAATTGACATATATATATATATATATATATATATATTGTTTGGACGCATATTAGGAAGATATTAGAAAGAAAATTCAGATTCTATTATACCAGTTACTTACTATTCATGAACCACCAGCCTGTTAATCCAATGACCAGAAACTGTTATATGAACAACAAACGTAAAATTCCAACATTTTCAATCACGGGAAGTTCACATCCCTGCCGTTGAATTGGTCAAATGAGTTCGCGACAGCATGTTCATATGCATTGAGCTTGACTTCTTGCAGCGAAAGTGAAGGAAATGAGAAGGAACTAGACGGTGCATGGCTAGCGCCTAGCGGATCTCCTTTGCCGACAATATGCAGCCAGTAATGACTACATTCAATTCAATCCACGAGAAGAAGTCTTTACAGATGCAATGCATTTGCCTGCCTTTTGGAATGTGTCTAACCAACTTTAACAAATTAAAGACTCCCATAAGAATTCCATGTTAATGTATGCTAGTAGATTATTTGTGATCTTCAAGAAGAACGATGGCTTGCCTGTTTTAATTTTGCTTTGGTGAAGGGAAAATTAACTTCCCCGACCTATGTGTACTCACTGACGGATCAAAATCTTGCTAATTTCTCGCTAATCCCCCGTGCACCCCAACCATTAATTTTGCGTTCATGCTGAGAAGCTTGATTAAACCAACTCTATTTAGCTAGAAATAGCATCTTAAAAGGACAATAGTCTGCAAATGACAACGGGAGTCGCTAAGCAGAAAAAAATCTGGATAATATTTTCCCAAACTAGGACTCTTCCAAAAAGTCTATCCCTTTTTGGTTTCTATGCTATAAAATTGAGCTTGTTAAAGTCGCTTCTATAAAATAATATCATATTTTCAAGAGTGTGATTTAGAAGAGAGTATTAACTTAACATTTTTTTTCCTAATTGAAAAGGATAAACTTTTACTTAGTAAGTAAAACTCAACTCTTGTTTCATTAAATTGAGTTTTTTTTTTTTATTAGATCCAAGATGATTTGAAAATTGAATTTATTTAGTCCTTTATAATATATTTTGTAACATGTATGCAATGGATGTGTTTAGTTATAAAGAATCAAAGTGGAAAAAGATCAACATATTTTGTCACTTAACTAAAACAATTTCCAATTTATACTTTTTCATCGTCCTATACTTGAATTATAATATTATATAACATTATTCAAATTAATGATCTAAAAAACCAATTTTATTTCATGTAATTAACCAATTTTCGGAATTTTATAGCATTAAAAACTCATAGAGGGACGAACATTTTAAACCAAACGAATCTCGCGGAGAACTTAGCAGATTTTAAAGGCTGAGGTTTGATCTATGATCATCCCACAAATCGCATGGATATATAAATGCGCGCGTGCGCGCGCTCTTATGTAGCTTCGGCCGAGTTGTAAGCCTGTAATAACTGAAACAAGCATGGGAAAAAAGTCCGCCGCCGAACCACAGAATCCCTTATGTATCGGTGATGTCGAACAAAGCAGCAACAGATCAATTTTCTGCGTGGTGTCCAAATATCATCCATCCATGTCAAGAAATTTAGTGTCCTTTTGCTTTAGACATTGGTGGCTCGTGTCTTCTTTCCTTTTTTTTTTTTTTTTTTTTTTTTTTTTCGGCTTTGAATTGGAGTACGCCTTTTGACAAAGATTGAAGCTCTTTTTTAAATTTGATTTTTTTTCTGATTTGAATTAATGGATATTTATTGCAGCTAATCAATAACTTTATCCAAATGATAGAAAATCAAAACAAGAACGATAACTGGACTAAGTCTATGTATCAATAAATGCTCGCCAACTACGTATTTGATATTTGACGTGAATGAAAATCAATTTATATTCAATTAAAACGATTTGGGGCTCTATTTATCAACTAGCAATACTTTCCAGTAGCACCATGTGAAGAGATAAATTAAATTCCTAAGAACATCCATTTAAATGTTTGCTTCGTAAATGCCATGAATTAATCATATATTCGTGCTGTATTCGTTAGACTTTTGAAAATATTCAGTTTGGGTGATCGTCCCTGATCATGTGGATCCATCCTCACAATTCAACAATATTGCAGCTATCACAATGCCGAACACACACGCTGTTTAAATAGAACAAAGACGTGATGAAATAACAAAACTGAGATCACCATTTCTTTAATTTTGTGTATTAGAAAACAATCTTATCAAATGGGTCATCGGTGGCCCCATTTGTTCCAATTACATATGCCACATGGAGTAGGGACTTGCATAATAATTATACAAGCGATATGCCCATCAAATTGATGGTAGATCTCCTTTGACATGTGTACAATGTCAAAAGCCAAGGAGTCACCTGGCAGCGTATTTATATAAGTCACAAGGTAATATATTAATACATACAGTACCCACATTAACAAAAAAAATTTTTTCTTTAACCTAGTCCCATATATTAATATTTATGTTACAGTGAGAATTCTAACCACATAATATAATTAATTTGCTTAGCATAATTTTTGTTTTGTGTTGATTATAAAAATATCCTTGAGGCAGTATATATATTAATTGAAATTAAATCTTTTTTTAACTCAAAATTTTTCTAACAATTGGAGTAGAAAATTTTGTAATTGTTTCAATGTTAATACATGCTAGTTGATTATTTGTAATACTCCAGAAGAACTATTCCACAAAATGACAAAATTATGTGGATTGCCTTATTTAATTTTGCTGTTACTTCATCTTAATTATTTAAACAAACTTTATGGAGAAAATTTTGCGAATGAGGAAGGGATAGTTAACTTCCCCAACCTACATGTACTCACTAATTAAGGGATCAAAATCTAGCTAAGTTCTCGCTAATCCCCCATGCACCCCAACAATTAATTTTGCGTTCATGCTTGAGAGCCTTGATTAAACCAACTCTATTTAGCAAGAAACAGCATCTGAAAAAGACTAGAGTTTGCAGATGATGAAGGTACTCGCCAGGCAGATCAACATCTTGATAATATTTTCCCAAACTAGCAAACTAGAATTCTTCTAACAATTGGTGGAAAACCCGCCAAGAGAACCATATATAGCATATGAAGTGGAAAATACGGACTTCTTGATAGAAAAATGTTATGATATTTAAAGAGTAATTAATGTAAATTATTTCATAAAAAATAAATATAAAAAAAAATTTGAGTTAAGGTAGAAATTTTTTTATCATTTTTTATATTTTTTAATATAATTTTTTTATGTATCTATTTTTTTAAAAAAAACTCATAAAAAAACGAATATATATATATGTTATTTTTTTGAATATTCCAAAATATTTTCAATCGATCCGTTATCAATCAGCTTTTTGTCCGCCTCTTCTCCTACAATCCGTTGCTTAATTAGGCAAGGAGCACGTATCTATAGCTTTGGCATTAATTAAATAATTTTATTAAAACAAATCCGTTGTGCAAAAGTAGCATAGATTAGTGTTGATGATGAGGACAACATAATCAAAAATCAAATACGATTTTAAGTAATTAAGACGATACTCATTTATTTTATACGGAAAGGGATCATGGTTGGAGCTACCTAAAGTAAATGTTACGAAAAAAGTCATTGAATTTGGAACTATATGATAAACGCAGAGTCGACAATATGCATTGCCAATGTATTGATACGCAGATAAAATGTCCGACAGAACGGCAATGAAGGTCAACAATGGACGACAAGAGATATTAATTATTAGGTTTACCAAAATTGCGAAATGGGATATTATTTCTCAAACCGGAACAAAAATTCAGTAGTGACTCGGTAACGAAACCACGGTTAAGATCACTCATGCACTGTTTAAATAGGAAGTTGAATAATTAACATGGTGATGGGTATGATGATCTTCGTCACAATGTTTGAATGGAAGGAATGCCAAATGTTTGAAGTCACTCCCAATAATGGTCAAGAAAATGGGCGCCATGATAGGAAATTTTTATATATTTGTCCACCATGCAAATGGGCACGTTAGCGCTCATTTTTCCCAAACCTATCCAAATTGGGAAAAGATTGGGTTTGAACAAAAGAACTTTTGCCTGAGATTTAGGTCATAGTCAGCTTCGGACAAACTAAGCCAGCTTACATAAGCATCCATTGGGGTCGGGTCAATCAAATCAATCAACTCTACGTATTAAAAAAAAACCCTCTTAAGTATGGTTTGGTCAATTCGAAGTTTGTAATTAAGTCAAATATTAGCTATTCGGAACTCAAGCCTGTAGTTTGCCTACCTTAACCATTGCAAGCTAGGTCGAAGAGAAACGAAGTTCGTGTGTTTAAAAGATTGAAGAGAATTCGATGGCAAAACATGAAATAGATTTTGGGGGAGCCAAATTTAAAATACCATATATTATGTATGTGCATTTACTTACGTAAACTTTATTGATATGAATATTAATAGAAATTAATTAAAATATTATACTCTAACTTCTAGAACCATGTAATATTATATCTGATTTGTCACGAAAAGAAAATTAGCTTCATACAAAATTAGAATTCTTTACAATATTATATACTCTAATTTGAATTGCAAAACTATTGATTCTTTTTTTTTTTTTTTTAAAAAAAAAAAGAATGGCAACACTGATACTTCAAAAAAGAAAGATTGATTGTGTCATAATCCACAATTCGGGTTACATTTTGTTTTTATTGTTTAGTTCAATAAAAAAAATAATGATTAAATGAAAATTCACATCCTATAAATGAACTGGAGTTTTATTATAAGAATTTTGCAAGAACTTCGAGGGATTTTGACCCACTCTAGTCTCCGAATAGTCCCACCTGTATGGAGATTATACATTTATATATCAATTGAGATTAGTTCTATTAATTTTTGAACTAAGTTAGCTAGAAAATGCATTTAATATTTTATTAACAATTGGATTTTTTTATAAAAAAAATAAATTGAAATTTGATAGAATTAAAAAATAATTATAATTAATTTTTTCTTAGGATTAAATACTGACTAACGTTTTCTAACCATAATTTGCAAGTACTATTGAGCGTGCATGAGTGGGAGATGCTAAAAATCCTTTAACGCTCAAATAGCAGTCAAATGTCCTATTTATTCTCTCCCTAAATAAAATCCAAGGTAGATTTTTAATTTTTTTTAATAAGCGCATAAATAATTAATAAATAATCCTATATGCAGGCCCCGATCGTATACTCCTATTTCATCTTTCTCGATATTGAGATTTAGAATTTGAAGTAATGATTTCCAATTTTAATTTCTAGAATGTTTTCTACCAAATTTTTGGTCGTATCAAGTAGTCATTTTTTTTTTAAAAAAAAAAACCATCCTGTTTTTTATTGAGGAGCCACGAACCAAAATTTTAAGTAGGTTTACATTTATGGGATTTTGTTTAGAGATTTTCGTTAAAAACAATCATTTATGCTTTAAAAATTGAGAAGATTTACATAAATCGTAAAAAACTCTAGTTAACCATTAGTTCAAATTTCAAGTGAGATCGAAAAATATATCATTTTTACCTATGAATCCATCAGTTCCATAATAAAAAGTCATATTTATGAAGTGTAATACTAAAAAAAAGTGAAAAAAAAAATCACACACTAGTAATTTATGCAGCCTATTATTTCAAGTTGTTTTTTTTCTTCTTGAAAATATTTCAAATGGTTAAATGTGCTTTCATCTTATAAGCTTAATGGTGCGACAAAAGACCATTACATAAATAAGTGATAATTATATCATAGCAAAAACTAATAATAATAGAAACCAATGACATCTGCATTTTGAGCCTGCAGATCCAACGGGTAGAAGGCGGGTCCTAAGGTTTTGCAAAGGATTTTAAAATGCCTTTGGTGGTCGATCCTTGCGACTAGACATATTTAAACAAATTGATTTCAAAAGAATCAACAATGGTGTTTTCGAACTCACGGAACAAACTTAATTTACAGTATAAAATCAGTGAACCTAATTTGGTCAGGAGCAACAATTAATCTTCACGAGCTCCCATCAATTGGAGAAACGCATTACCAGCAGCTAGTACAAAACGTTGATCTCAAGAATCAAGACACTCGCCAACATATAATGATTTTAGTAAAGAAGAAAAACATCGCCTTTCTAATCTGATTTTAATCCCAATTAATTTATTTTAACACAAACGTTAAGACAAAAAATTTTACGAGTTAAAATTCCTGATACAAAAACGACTGAACTGTGACGATGGTCGCCCTCACCAAAAAAATGAAGTACCAGATAGCTAAATTGCTATCACGATTTTGTACTTCTGCAAACGACTGGTAACGTAATGATACCGTCATAAATGTTAATGGCAATTCAATTAATATTATCCAACCATTCTGGGCTAAAAGTTGAAGCACCATCGTCTTTATGGTGAGATACAGCTAAAGAATCAAACATGCAAGGCATCAAAATGGGAGAAATATTGGATAGGACTTTCGACGGAAGAGAGAGCAACCCCTATCTTTGCTTTCATTGTGTTTTTGTTCTTTTTTTCCCGTCAAAGAAACCCAGCAGAAAGAAAGAAAGAGACAAAACAAAAGTACAGATGGATCAGAGATACAGATGTAAAAGATTGGAAAAGAAAGAAATTAAAGTGGGTCTTGGAAGAGAGCTTTCAAGAAGGTATTGGATAAAAGAATCCATCTCTCTCTCTCTCTCTCTATATCTGTGTCTTGATACGTATGTGCGTGATTGCACTGAAAAGAAAACTGGCAAACATAACCCTAGCGCCACGTTCTATACTGGCATACGCTTTATCCAAATCAAGAACCTAAGCTAATCTAAGCTAAGAGCTAAGCAAAGCAATCAATCAAGAATCCAGAGCAGAGCCATTATCCATGGGCCAGTGGTGCAAGTTTCTTCAGAGCAGAAAGCAACCAGCTCATCCATATCAATCTACTGCAGCAGATTGCAGAGAGATAAATTGCTTCACTATCTCAAACTTCGAAGCAAACATGTCATCACTCCCCGTTACACCCCACCATGTGAATATCCAACAAGCCCATACACCAGTTACAGATTTTGACAAGTATGACGCTTCCATAGTCACATCCTCCATTTAAAACTCCACCATCCCAGCCAGTACATCAAGTTTTCAATGCACTTCACTTCCCTGTTCTCTAAGCAAACAAAAAATGCTAACAAATTGAAATTAAATGGATTTTAAAATAAAAAAAGAAAACTAACAGTTTAAACTCCTTGAAACTAAAATCACTAATTAAAGACATGATTAACATAGACAAAGAAAAACACGAAAATTAAAAAAAAAAAAAAGTGATTCTTCAAAAGCAAACTTCTTAAAAGCAAAAATAAAATTTTGATTGATCCTGATCCTCTCTACGATAATTCACATTAGTAAGGCGGTGGGGGCGGCTGCCTAGCAGTGGGCGCCCAAATGACATCATTAGGCATATGACAACTATACATAGCCATCCCGCAAGGCTCTCCACCGCCGCCACCACTTGCCGCGTGTCCACTTTCTCCCCCACCTGCACCTGACACAGCCGGTGACTGCCCTTCCCCACCACCACCAGACCCAGAATTCCTCCCTTCCTCCTCAACCGGCAAACGGTGGTAACTCGGATTATTAAACGACGCCGCTACAACAAAAACAGTACCAGCCGCCACCAAACTTCCTGCAACGATCCCTCCAACAATCTGCCCCTGTGGACCGGCAAGCGAAATGGTAAAACTATTAGGCACTGGATAGGACGTCGTTTGAGGCAAAAAAGTCGCCGAAATTGACAAAATATCGAATCTCCCATGAAAGGTAATGGTCGCTCCTGCTGTTGTCGAGGGCTGATGCAGAGTGACGTTAGCGACCGTGCCGGATCCAGTAAGAACACAGATTCCCATGTTTTTTCGGCTACAAAAACGGGATAGTGCTTCCACGACGTCGTTTCCACCAGGGACTTCTAGAATGTAGGGACTCATAGCGGGTTCAGGTTCCCGGGTTATAATAACGGGTGGCTTGGGTTTGTTCTTTGAACCGGGCGGCCTGCCTCTTGGTCGGCGAACTACCTCAATAGTAGCACCGTCAGTGCCGCCACTGTTGTTAGGCTCGTTGAGTTTTTGTTTTTGTGAGTTGGGAGTGGGATTGGTTGCTGCGGCGGCACCAGTACTACGCGTATCTTCCTCTTCAGATTCACGAGAAAGTTGAAAGTGTTGAGAGAAGGGAAGGTGCTGGTGAGGGTGAGGGTGGAGCTTGGAGAACATGTTTGGAGTATTTTCATGCTTAGGTTGATGATGTTCTACATATTCACCTTTCATGTTGTTTATTACTATAACTAGTTTGGTTTTTTTTAGTTTCTTTAATTTTTTTTTTTCTATGTGATGGGTATGGGTTGTGATTGGTGGGGAGTGGATTTGGGTATGTGGTTTGTTAAGTAGAATAAAAAAATAAGAGGAAATGGAAACAAGTTGGGAGGATAGAGGAGAGAAGCAATAAAAAGGGAAGAGCAAGAAGTGAACAGCTTGGTCTTTGGATTTGTTTATAGTGTGATAAAGATTGGGGGTAGAGAGAGAGAGAGAGAGAGAGAGAGAGAGGTGGGTGAGCTTGGAAACCAAGTAAAGACGAATGGAGCCGCTGGTTGGGGCGGTAAAAGTAGGGCCCACTAAAAATACACGCGCATAAGTGAGGGTGGATGTTTTGTCAATGAAGAATGGAGGTTTCGGGGTTGTTCTTTATGGTTTAGTTAAACCGGTAAACCCTACATTGCCTGGACAGACACAGACCGCCTTTGAATTGTTTGGTTTGGTTTGGGTTTTCCTTTTCTCTGGACTTGAAGCTAAGCTTCAAATTCTTGTAAGATAGAGAAGAGTCTTTTGGGGCCTCCCGACCGAGTGGATTGATAACGACACCTTGATGTTCTATCTTTTGGCTATAGGGGCATTAACTTTATGTATCTAGTACTGTTTATTACCAATCTCTCTCTGTAATTTTTCTCCCTTTCTATTATCGTGGGCTTTCAAATACTGTCTTTCTAGCAAGAGTCGGTCTTTGTAATTGAGAGAGTGCAAGTGGTCTCTCGCATGTTAGCCCTGGGCAGGGCAGCTGTGCTCTCTCTCTCCATTAAATTTCAAACTACTCAGCCCACTAACTTTGACAAGAACGGTTAAGTTTCCATTTTCCTTCATGTGCTACGTTATCTACAGATTGGGTTAATTTGAAGGATGACTTTTTTGAAGCCTTCATTAAAGGGGAATTCAAGGCTTTCTTATCATTTTTGCTTAGTAAGCACATTTACTTTCGTGTTCGCTCTAATACAAGACAAAGTCCGACAGAGATTGCTGCTAACCTTCCCCCATTTTGAACCAACGAACATGTGTTGAGGTAAATATCCTGGTGGACCCTCTTGGATATGACAAACAAACCTCATTCTTCTGCCTGCAAGGGCTATTTAATAATTAAAAATACTACAGTATTTCAAAGTTGTGTTTTTAAAAGTACTACGGGTAGTTCAACCTCTATTAACCATTTTATTTCGACCGCTTGCAAACATGGTTTTTAATTACAGTTTTAATAGAGATTGCAAGCCTAATCATAGCATGACGTCGCAGATATTATGTAATGGATATAATTGTCGCATGCAAAACTTTTAAATTTTAAACAATTAATATACGAAGAATAATACTTTTATAAATTAACTAATATAGAAACTATTTGCTATGAAAACACAACCTAGATTAAAACATTGATAACAATTTACAAACACACACATATATATATTATATATATATAAAGTAATTTGTTTAATGTCCAACCCTTGTTGCTGCTATGGCCATTACAACCGCGATTTTTACAAAATATTGCTCCATCATGTTATAAAACATATCATAGGACAATAATAATTTGAAACTCAATTGCATAACAATTATTACGTTATGAAACGAACATTGTGTTTGCAAGGACTTTTTAATTTCTTTGCCTAGAATACGAGCAGAATTAATAATATCACAGTACATACTTCTACGTTGCCTGTTCACTTCTTACGATGTAGATACCATATCATATTGGCCTGTACCACTATAATATTGAAGATCCGCACAAGGAACAATACTTCTAATTTGACAGATAAAAACTCATCAATAGACATTGAGAGCATCAACCATCGAATCCATGACCTGGTCGTGGCAATGCACATCCCAACAGCGCACAAAATAAATCAAATGATTCTATTGATGTGGTTCTTGATTAAATTGCTTTAGGAAGAAAAAAGAATATTTCACCAAAATATATGTCTCCCGATTTTCTATTTAGAGCTTCAGCATAACCAGGGTTATCACCATCTCTTGTCTAGCATTAAGAAGGAAAATGCCCATTAAGCAATAGACATTGGGAGGGCCTTGGGATACCGATTAGAGGATTAGGTAGCTGAAAGGTTTAAAAAAAAAAAACGATGGGACCCTTAGGCAACAGAAGCCGAAGGTAAGATCCTGCATGAAAAAGCATACTTTGGTGTCATCAACGCATATTTCACGGCTAAAATATTAAACTTGGATGCGACGTTAAGTAAAATGCAACATGCAAATCGGGTAAGCAATTCTGACTTCTGATTAAGGACCTGATCAGCAACGAAAAATAAAGTATCATATTCAACTATACCACCTCATGATCATCGTGTTATATATAATACAACAAAGTAAAATCGTCTAGGTCTTTATTACCAACACCTTATGGTAGTTTTTGTCGAACTAACAAAAATAACTTTAAAGGCTGTTTTCATTTAACAAATGTAACTTTCTGCTTCTATTTGGAAGGGGATGGTGCAAATCCCCCATATCATTGGTTAGCTACCAAAAAATCCTCATTGCCCGTCTGAGTGTCGTTCAGAAGCCCTTGGACCGTCCCGAATGCTATGTCCCGAGCCTTTTCCCACGTGTCGCACTGAGCTCACAAGTTCCATGAAGGCTCCCCCCCCCCCCCCTCTTTCTTGATTTTTACTTATTTTTAATACAAGGTTTTTGTCGTGTGCTTTGAACGTATATTATTCAAACTCTAACTATAGTATTTTTTTTATAATCTCAAATAGAGTATTTTAAATTATTCATGACTAATATTTTTATTATTTATTAAATTAAAATATTTTTTAAAATTTAAATAGTTTTTTTATAAATCTTGATAATTTGTAATTAATTTAGTTTGTTTGAGTTTTAAAATATATAAATAAATTTTAATTGTATTGAAATAAAAACTATTTATAGAAAATAGTTAGTAGTTAGGATATATGTGTGCGCGTGTTGCATGCATGTGTATGGCTGTTTATAGTTAGATCTCTTAAGAATAATAATCACCAAAAAAATTTACACCAATTTATTTATCAATATAGTTTTAAAATTGAAAACAAGTTTTTCATATCATATGTTGTTATAAAAAAATTCTACATCTTTCATGAAAAATAAGAAAAGAAAAGAGTTTCGTTTTTTATTATAATGTATATGGATAGTTGTTCTAATTAAAAAAATTAAAACATTATTTTTTTCATTTCATTTTAAGATTTAAGTTAGTTTAAATTATATGATGAAAATAAAAACGATCAAACTATCAAAATATAAATATGATATGTTGGGATCTCTCATATGTAATAAATATAATTATGTATTAAGATACAACTATGATAACAAATAACCAAATATTTTTTTTGAAAGTTTGATTTAATCACATAAATTTAGTAAATATCCACAGTTGAAAAAATCTTACAAGTTAACAATTTGAGAAATACAATTTTATAAATCATCAAATGTCTGACACTAACATGCAAGTTTTAATATCACGAAATTATTGTGTATTTTTCTACCATGATTAATTACTATCATTAATATAATATTTTTAAATTATTTTATCAAAAGGAGTCATTTATTCAAATAAAATCTATTTTGTATAAATATGTAACGTGCATTGTATACAAAAAATTATTCAGGGTCCTACTATTGAAATTAATCTTTTTATTAGAAAGATTTCTTTTAAATTATATGTAATGTGAATAGAACTTAACAATATAGGTATATGTGAGTAAAAAATTATGAACTTTTTTTTTAATTAGAAAAGTTTGTCAAAATAAACAATGCAAAGTTTATGGACCATTCTTTCCAAATGACTAAAAAGTAATATAATACAATAACAAAAAATTTCCTATAAAAAAAAAAAAAAAGAAGGATCCAATTTAGATATTGATGAATCTTAACATAGTTTTATTATTTTTAGATTTTAATATTATTGATGTTTTTTGGGTTTTTCAAAGCTTTTTTAGAGTTTTCAAAGGCAAAATAAAGTGATAATGATGTACTATATAGGTTAGGAGTAGTGATACACTGATTTGTGATTCTTATTTTATATTATCTAGGACTCTATATGGTTAATAAATAGGAAAAAATAATAGAAAAACATAATTAACCTATTTTTTTGGGTCATAATAGTTTCTTTTTTAAGATTTTCTTTAATGTTGGTTTTTTTTTCATAATTATTACTGATGTAGAATTTACATATTAATATGGAGAACATGCTATAATATTGGTATTGCATTAAAAATATAAAAATTAATCAAAATTTTGTATAGAGTTTGTCCTTTTATATATAGATATAGATGTAACATAATCATTTAAGATATGACTTGTATCAACCACTAATATGGCATTAAGTAATTTTGTAGGAATTTTCATTTATTGTAAACTTTAAAATCAATCAACTTGGATAAAGATTGTATTCACGTGGCTAGAGTTTTGCTACTCTTGACCAATATTATTCATCTAAAATTTTGTTAATAAAGATCATTTATTACTCTTGAAAGGTGGACATGCATAACATGCTATTCGCCAAAAGGATCTAGTCACAATTGAGAAGCTTTTATGTTTGTTTTTTAAGTAGAAAAAGAGAACCTAATGTTAACTGAGTTATAGTTCATCGGTTTTTATGTTATTTTAATTTTTCTTTTGAAAAACATTGTAAATACATTTTGTCCTGCACAAATGCAATCTCAACAGTTGGTTTGAATTTAAGACTTGGATTTGTCAAAAATAATTTTTGGGCATATAAAGAAAGCTTCTTACTGAAATTATCTGCCCACTTGCGTTCCTTTGTCTTCGATTTCTCTTAGTCATCTAATCATAGAAACAAGTGAAAACTCTTGACCATACGCTATTTGATGTTCTTCAAAAGATGATACGATATTTGTTTTGTTTTAAGGCATCGAATCTCAATTTATAATTAAATTCCACATTCACTTTTTTTGGTGTGTGTGTGGATACACATACAAGTCAACAGTGGTGGGAAAATGTACAAGACAGGTTTCCTTTTTCGGTTTGCAGCTAAGCAAGAAAGTAAATCTCAGGATAAAGAAAACCAAAGTTTATTCGGTCCTATAGTTGTTAAAACTTGCGAGGTTACTGATCGATCAGAAGCGAATCATGTGGCGTCATGCCAGGGAAGAATTGATTTTTAGTCACTTGTGTAGAAAAGCAAAAGTAAAAATTATTTTGTAAGCGTCACGTTTCCTCGGTAACTACTACTAAAAAAGCTTCATATTCTAGCTAATCATCATTAAGAAAGCTTTTAGCGGAATTATTATGAAAAGCCTCTTTTCCCAACTGCCGACTGTATAGCTTGATCAAGTATTTGCGAGTATTATTGAAAGTTTTATTCCAGAAAATGGTTGTTTTTATAAGTTTGGCTTCTGATCATTAGGGGAAGTGATTGAAATTAAATGGCTAATTAATAACCCCCGTAACAAGACCAAGAATAGATAACTTGGCAATGGCAGTACTTCCAGATGCCTTTCGCACTGTAGAGAGAAGGCTATCTGAAAGTTGCTAAACTAGATATTCCATGCCATTCAATTATTACGTGATATTGGAAGGAGTATACCATCATCTTTGGGATACTGGTCTTGCGAATTTGCAATGTTCCAAAGTTGTAAAAAGTTTTAATTAAATCCCCTCATCCATATCAGTCAGCAGATTTCCTCTAAACTCTGTGTGTGTGTGTTTATATTCATGAAAATGACACCATTTTGTAGGTAGTATGATAGTTTCCATGAAAAATGTGACAAGAGTTATGAAAGAAATCTCAATTATAAATTTTTGAATACTTGGAAAACCGAATTAGGGTAAAAGAAAAATCATTCGAGGACTCAATTGAAATATGGGTTACAGTTTGGAAGTTAATTTGATTTTTACACTCTACACTCTTCTAATGAGAAAACGAAAGAAAAGAAATTATGGCAACATGAATCTTGATTAAGAAGGTTTTTTTTTTTTATTAAAAAAAAAGATATTGTATCAAGAAGACAATGATAGGCTTGGTAGACTTAGAAATCCAAACTAAAGATGTGATTTTTTTTTATTTAAGAAAAAAACAAAACTATGAATCATAAGTAAACATTATTTCAGACACTAGTATGGTGGTCTCATTTTGTTACGGATAAACTTACAAAATTTGTAAAAATATTTTAATTATTTATGAAAATTTAGATCTATGAAATAAACATAAAAAAATATCAATTGTAGAAGTTTTTTTTTTAATTTAATTTGTATTTTTTAGTATTTAATATCATGTGTGTTTTTATTTTAGTTTAAATATATTTATGATTTTTTTATAAACTAAAAAGGTAAGCATACAATTAATTATTTAATCACATAAATCTAATTAAAAGAGTTAATAATTAGAAAAAGAAGAAGAAGAAGTAGGAATCGACAAGGAAAGGGATTCAAACAATCTATATTAGAAGGATGCTTAATTTAAATCAATGAGTTTACGATTAAAAACCTTGTTATTCTCTACTTGATAGTTAATATATATATATATATATTTTTTGCATTTACGCAATTCTAAATATTAATTTTTATTATTTTAAATATAAATACAAATTTACAAAAAAAAAATCAAGTGATGAATTATTTGATGCATCTATGCTACTTTAAAAGATATTAGTTTTGAACAACTACTTCGAAAAAATAAGGAGCCACATGCAGAAGAATCATGATCGATTTTGAAAAGAGACACAATGAGCAAAATATTGTTATAAATTAAAAGATGATAAATTATTAACTATTAAATCTTTTTATTTATACTATTTATTATCCTGGATGTTAATCAAGTCAATGATCATATTTATTTTTTAAAATGTCGATATTATATCAATTTTGTTTTAGTGCAATTTTTGTTAAAATTTTAAAGCAGTGCAATTGTCGTTAAAATTTCAAAGCTATGCATCGTTGATGAATTGATTATCTGATTATCAATCATTAAACCTCTATTTTTTCAAAAAGTTCGGCAATTAATCATGATATTTTTGTAAGGTTTCATGAATAATTCGTCATATCTTTATAATAATCAAGGAAATAATTTTTATTTTGTGAGTTTGTATGAAAAATACAAAAAGAATAATTAATTATTTGGGAAAAATTGATATTGAAAAAATAATTAATAATGAAAAAGAAAAGAAAGAAAACTAGGAGACCCACGCACCTAGGTCGGACGCTCGCGGCCTAACAGCATAAAAGAAGATAATAAAAAAAAAGCGAAGGAGAGATGATAAATTATAAATTATCGAATACTTGTTATTTTGATCCTTCCTTCTTCTACTCTAAGTATTTTTATTTTTAAAACCTAGTGCCGTATGAATTTCTTTTAAGTGTTATAGTCATTAAATGTTTTAAAACTATACATTTTAAATTGATTAATTATCAATTATCAAACCTGTATTATTGTAAAAATAAAAAGGACATTGATCATTATTTTTTGCAAGGTTTCACGAAAAATCATTATTTTTTACAATAATGATTTAGTTTATATTAATTTTTTAAAAAGTCAAGATCATGTAAAATAATCAAATTTGCAAGGTTGTATAAAAAAATAATCAACAATTATTTAATAAAAATTAATATTGAGAAAATAATAAACAATGAGCAATAAAAGAAAAGCAAAAAAAAAAAAAAAAGAGAGAATAAAATAAAATAAAAACTTGAAAAAAACAAAGAAAGAAAGTCGAGCAGCTTACGCGCTAGGCCCTAGTGCATAGGCGTGCTGGCGACCAGACCACCTCATATAGGTTGGATGCAAGCAGGCTCGAGAGCTATATATCAAAAAGAAAAAAAGCAGATGATGTGTCGTTTGCATGGATAGACGTCTGGCCCCAACGAGTGACGACACTATAACTTTTGATGCTATCGGCTGTAATTTTTTACGGCCAATTTATCGCCAAATAATCGGATGATCGGTGTGGTTTTGACAGCACACCCAAATTCTAAATTTATTTGACCTAAAAACACTCTAGAATCATCAAAAAAACAGGGAAAAACTTATTTTGAATATCAAAACATGTTTTGATCCACTCTAGAAATCCAAAAAAAAAAAAAAAAAATCTCTTCTCTCTGCTTAATTTGCATCCAAAGACTTATTTTTTACACAAATAAAGTTTAGGAACCATTATGCACAAACTTCTGGCACCAAGGACCAAAGTGAAAACTAATTTTCAAAAAACCACTCAAAATGTCATAAAATTAGTTCGTGTTTATAACAAAATCCTAACTACACTAAAATAAGGATATGCTAGCCTTTTTTTCTTAGTTGTATTAGCTATAAATAATAAAGTTATTTATAACAAAATGCATCTCATTCCTTTCTCATACTTGGAGGAGGTAAATTATGGTATCCGGCAGGGAACCATATAGAAATAGTTATCACTATGGGCCCAAGTTTATTATTTTATTATTATAACTTTGTAAAATATGTGGTCAAGATGGGAGGAGAGAAGAAGAAGAAGAAGAAGAAAAAAAAGTTAAAGATCCGTGGAGATTGGCCGCTTACAAACGGACAAACAAATTCAAGGGACAAGCAGGCTGTTGCTTGTTCTTGATACCAAAAGTAATGCCCACGGGACCAATTCTTTTGACCTTTTCGTTTTTTGGTCTGTTTATATGACATCTCCATTGCTGGGAGACATTGCCTATTGCACAATAAGACAATTAAACACAATAATTCAGATCTTCAAGAAGTGTACTCCTTTCAATTAATGTCGTTATCAAAATGGCAAGCTAAGCCAAATTCACCACGAGCAAGTTTAGAATAAATCAACTGTTCTGATTATTTAAAATAATTTAGACAAAATCTCTACGAGTAAAGGTCCTGAAGATTGCATCACTGTGTCGCTGGCATGCAAGATTTTTTTAAGATCAAACTCGAAGCAGCAACTTGGAAAGATCATCAATCGTTTTCTATACTATGCTCACACGTGTTCTGATCCAGAAGCAATTTCTAAAAAGAAATAAATGGAGTATAATAATAAACAGATGAAAGTACAAAGTGGCATCTCAAAACAGGATAAATATTATCCAGTAACCACGAAGGCTGGCACAAGTCATCTACAAACCACAGAGCGAACAAATTTTGAATGCTATTGCCAGGCCTACTAGCTTAACTGCTCAAGGACTGGTTTAGTGAGGAGTGGAAAATGAAAGGGAGGGGTTGTGTTCATGGTGGGCAAAGCAGGCTTTGGCAGGTATGGGAGATGCAAGAAAGTTCAGGCTGTTTTGGCACCTCAGGCGTTGCCAAAGAAGGCAATGTAGGTTTTACAGTAGCTGGGAAATGAGGAACAACTGGCAAATCAGGCTTAGATAAAGTAGCTGATTCAGGTTTAGGGAGCTCAGGCTTGAGCGAAGGAGGCAATTCAAGTTTTGGCAACTCTGGTATGTTAGGAAGAGGTGGGAGTTCATGCTTGGGAACCAGTGATAATTCAGGCTATTTTCTAAGTTGGGATGGTAGGTAGAGGGACCAATTCTGGTTTGGGATGCTCAGGAGACTTGGGCACTTCAAAAAGATGGCGAGAGACAATTACATTGATCCCACTGATAAGTGACAAAGCACCGATGAATACAGGAAACATAACGTATGAGTGATGATCAGCCATGCTTGGATTAATCATTACCTTCAGAATTGGATTAATCATTACCTTCAGAATTGATAGTCATAAGAGTTGAAAGTAAGGGGCTCGATATAATTGAGTGGTTTTGCATGTGAGGCAGGTTTATTGGGGCATATAGACTATAGAGGACGGACGATTCACCTGGGATGTGGCAATTGGAAAACTGATGCATGATGCCGGCAAGGATGTAAGTTTTTAGGTAAACTGCTTCATCGATCACTTTTCACAAATATCAGAAAGGTTGATGCTTGTCGTCGCCATAGTTGCATGAAATACTTATCGAAGTCGAGAAGTTCATCTACTTGATGCAATCCTAACGACTACCCCTGCCACGTGGGAGTAGAATACCTATTGAACATTTACCACAAGTGCATATGTGCACCTCTTCAAAGGCCATGGTTCGTTTTAAACTCCAAATACAGATGACATAGGAGGGAATAAATTAATCACAAGAATATCTCAACGTTAAGAATTGATCTAGATGGTCAACAAAACAGTCACCACTCACCAGTGCAAAGATCATATGAAGGAGTACCATATTACAAGGATCAATGGACATGAAAAAGTTACACAAACGTACTGATGATAACATTACCAAAATGTGCAAGGAACAAAAGGTGACTAGAGCATCACATACGGGCAACATAGGAATTGGCCTGAGTAACGTATCTCACCCATCGATATGGATTATATGCACTAGATTTCTTTGCTATCTGCAAATATTTCACCTGCACCAAGATCCATGACAGAATTGGATGTAAGGAATAAAAGGGAAAAAATCTGGCACACCATGAAACCAAACAATCTTAAAAGGATAATGTTCTTAAATGAGTTAAAGACGGGAGACATCACAGGTGTGCTTAGCATCCTTGCAAAACATTAAACAAGCTTCATGAAGCAACTAAACCATTGCAAGCCTAAGCAGGTCCTGATTTATAGTATATCTACCACTCTTAGCAGTGTTCTCCTCTCCCAGTTCATATACGAACATCATTATATTCAAGGTTCTAATACAAGTAGACTGAACTGATCCATAAGACAATGCTTAGCAATTCTTCTATCGCTACTGTAGTAGTATATTTGTCATCTGACCTTCACCAATTTCTTGCTTTTGGTTGGGTAATATATTTGATCACCAAAATAATATTGCTGTAATGGAAACCAGTAATGGCTTACCTGAAGCCGTGAAGCATTATACATTGGAATTGTGAATGTTGCGCTAACCGGTCCAGATTCCTTTGTGATATTCCCTGTATAGAGCAGCAAATATTTCATGAAACAACACAAGAAAACATCATAAATTGTCATGACCATTATGATATATAATTCATACCATGGAACTCCTGTGAAAATGTCAGCTTTGCACGTAATGTATGCTCCGATCCCCCAACAATCTGTTGCACATCGCATTATTCACTTAATTTATTCAACTAGGGCATAATCATGGCTTTGAAAGGAGGGGAAAAAAAGTGCAAATCCAAGAGAGAAATTTAAGAACTCTTGCCTTCTTTAATCCCCATTCAAGTCTCCTATTTGCTTCCTTGAAATCTGTTGTTTGCCCAAGTGCTCCCGGTTCCAACTCAAAATTAACTCTGTCAAAATATTAACAGAAATCCATTCCAAAAATGTTATGCCATACACATTGATAAAATGTAAAAATTATTTATAAAGAGTATGATCTGCCTCTGACTAAAAGTCACTTATGAAGAGCAGCTTTCTCAAACTTGTAATCTCTTAACTAAAGAATGACTCAGCCTGATTTTATAAGGTCTATTGAACTGCTGCAAAGATAACTTTTGCAGTGTACCATCCTTTCAATACTTCCTCAGAAATCTGTTTATTTTTCCAGTAAAATGCACTAAAGCATCAAGATGCAAACAAAGAGATTAATATCCCCTTCAGATGATCATAGTAAATTTGCCTTCTTAATTCTCAATCATACAGTCGTACAGTTTATAATAATCATGATTTTCTGTACTGCCATTTTATCAATTCTAATTTATTTGTTTTAACAAGACAATCAAACTTGTCAATAATTTCCATTTCAGGAACCAGACACATATAAGCTTGCTGAAATAGTGAACTGGAGACCACAGCTGAAAGGCTCATTTATGTAAGATGCTCAATTAATGAAAATGGTGACATAATTTGCTGACAGCCTGGGATAAATTATTTAGTTGCCACGTTCCAAGTGAAGCAAAATGCATTTTTTCAGCTCATCTTACTAAATAAGATGGTCTACATAAAAGAATACCTGGTGGTATATTTTGGCAAAGGCATCTGTACAATGATTGTGTTTGCAGTAATGCTCGAGGGAAATTCAGCAGATACTTTAAGAATCACTTCAGCCTATCAACAGCAAACATGTAGAACAGTGGAATGGTTATAGATTGTACATTAGAGGAAATAGTAAAACTTTTTCCAGCATAAAGTTTTCCATTTATTTAGTCAAAATTTATTAAAGTGAAATAGAATCAAAACTGAAATTGCTGCAATGGCAAACATGTCAGTTGACCAATGCACAAGCTTTATGACATTATAAATGGTTCTTCAAGCCAAGTTATTTTCATTGTCAAGTAGTGTTCTTATGGAAGATGGTTCTCACCTTAAGTGCACCTGCTTCTTCTATCAAAGTGTTAATGCGAAAGGGAGGTTTAAATTCCTGGGTCATACGATAATTCATGACAGGAAATTCACCATCTGGAGGTACCTGACATGCAGTCGCAGGATAAAATGCATATTAATAAACCAGAAACATGTATATTGAACCTCTTCAATCAAAATACACCTTTCAAGCTCATGTTGCTTTAGTTTTACTTACCAGAGTCAAAGTTCTATCCGTATCAAAATTATCCAGACGTACAGATTCATGGAAATTACAATCATCAAGTATCACTGAGCCTGATCCAAATGAACTTCTATAATCTGTAACAGAAAGCAGCATATTTGTGTGAGCTAGAGAGAGATTTTGACCAGATTTAAAGACAGCAGAAAGACACCATAATTGACAATCATGGTTGACTATCATAAAGGCACACAAGCATGCAAAAAGAACGACAAGAAATAGTAAGAGGATCCTCTCATAACAAACTTCAAAAACTAGCTCAGCAAGGAACAAAAAGAATAAAAGCATGACCATATGGAAACATTATTACTACATGTTCCAGAATATATACCTAGATAAATGCATCATGCTTGTAAATGTACACAGTCAACAAAAGAGCAACACAGCTATGAAATGTTAATATTTTAAGGTAATCATAAGTAGTATATAGCCAGTAATTCCTGAGAGGTATATGGATTGATCTCTCACCACCTCTTCCTATGCTCAGGTCCTCGTTAAGGGCTAATCGGATTTCTGGATTTCCAGAAAGATAACTCTTCATTTGAATGGTGCCATCAATTTCAGAAGTCAATATATATCCCTGTCCAAAGAAAATTGCATGGATTAAAGAAAGCTAATGTATTGAGGAAACCGAAAAGGCAGTTAATCAAGCAAAGATCGTGAACAATTTAAAAAAATAAACACCATAAATATTCAAAATAACTTGAGGACAATTCGGAGTGACTTCATGTATGCAACCTTATCCTCATCTTGTTAACCAATCCATATACTTCATTCATGCCAAAAGAGGACAATAAAACTTGGCATATCAAGGAGAAAACATTCTTAATTGCCTCCAGTTGCTCATGCAGTTGACTCTGTCAAACCACTATACCACATACACAGAAGCAATAAAATAATCCAAACTATTGATAATGCATGCATAAGTGCTTACACTAGAGCTGAATGTCACACTGATTTTCTCGATTATATCCACAAAAATTTCCTCCCTCTTCCTACCCCCAGGCTCATTTGCAACAACAGACTTTGTGACAGCTGTACCTGGCATCCTTTTTGTCCCTTGCTGCATTCATCCAAATTCTTACAGTTAGTTGCATGGCATATGCCAACAAAATATTAGGTAGTTTGAGCATGATCAGATAGATGATATCATACCATGAAAATGGCAGCAGGATTCAGAGGTTGCAAACGAGCAGCATCGACGACTAATGGCTCATTAAATACATAGGACTTCAACAGTTCAGTGGATGTGGTCTGTACATAACCAAAATCCTGGCAGAAGAAGGCAATGGGCTACATGTGAAACTTTTATGAAGAGAAATCAATAAACAACAAAACAATAGTTTAGCTTCATCTAAGTAACAAAACCCATGCAAATATTGTGGACATGTCATTTCTAATATTTTCAAGTGAAGCGAATGTTCAATGTGCATTCTGCCAAAAGTTCAGATGAATTGATATGGTCTCCCCCATGATGATAGACTACATACAAATCCGCTCATGAGTCATTTTGAAAACTTCAGGGAACAAATGGAATACAAATGTCACCTGTCAACAATTTTTTGGAAACAAAACATCTTTTATACAATTTTGATCTTTTAGAATGTCTGATCGTCCTATTTGCATGACATTACTCTTTCTTTAAATTTCTTTTCTTACCAAAAAATACAAGAAGAAAAAAGTAAAATGTAAAAAAAAGGGGCCTTGAACTCTAATGTGTGAGGTACAAAATGCTGAAAGCAAAGTACAAAAATATATGAAATTTAACAGTAAAGGATGAAGAAAGCTAACAAACAAGTCAGATACTAGAAAATTAAATAGTACAGATAACAATGATAGAGCACCAAAGCTTCACATGAACTCAAGAAATATGCCATTGAAAAAGAAAAGGCTGCCTGATAGAAAACTTACAATGACTTCATCAAGCAACTCATACACAAGGACAAAGTTTTTCCGAAGAGAATCTTCATTGAGAACCCCAAGGTAATCTTTGATAACACGAGCAATCCTTTGCAAAAGTTCCAAGACCAAAGAAGGTGACACATTTACTCTCGTGGTTGCAACAAATAACAACCCAACCACCTTCACGTGAAAGTAGTTTACACCATCCACATTCTATTCATAGAACAAAAATAAAAAA